TGACACCCCATGCCCGAGTTTTCTGAGGGGCTGCAACAGAGCATCTTAATTTCCCTTTGTCTGGGGTAGGATGGCTCCCAAGGCTGAGGTGTGGCTGAGACTGTGGTAGGGGTCTGAGGTTCCAGTGGTTGAAAATGGCAAATCCTGGGCAAGACACTGGGCGGGTCAACTATCTGCATCCACATCCAAGGCTGATGACAAAGTCAAAATCCTCTCTTGACTTGTGCTCATCATTGGATATTTTATTTGAGATCCTTTGTGCCCTTTTCTAGGCCAGTGTTTCCACAGAACGGCTAGAGAAGTACCTGGGAGGGGATGACTTGGACACATCTGCTATTCGACATGACTGCAATTTTGGTAAATGAATTTGGAAGATTTTCCCCAAACTTGTTCACAGTGCTGCCGCCAGAACTTTGATATACAAGGGCTTAGCAGCAGCAAACTAATTAAAAGGGAGAGCTAGAGGACTTACCTTGAACCTACGTTTGCATAGTAAACATACTGGTTTTACTTAAATTGTCTTTTCATTTAGAACAGATTGCTTAGCCAGACTGCTAAACAGGTAATCCTGCAAAGGATCTAGAAGGCAAAAGGCAGGATTGAGCATGGCATGTGGAATTGGGAAAGTAGGCTGGAGTGAAAGAACATGCAGGTTCTGAAGATTTAACAATTGGGGGACATCCACAGTTAGAGTGAGCAGTGGGGCTGGAATCCAGGGAAAGGGAGTGGCTGGACTTACCTACAGAGGTGAGATTGATACCAGGAGACTAGGCAACAGGAGTTCTGGGAATATATTTGCAGTGTGTTAGGTCAGGAATCTGGGCTGCCAACAAGCTTGGGATTCCTGAAGCAAAAAGGGCTTTGTATGCAGGCAACCTTTGGTCTTATTCCAGGAGCTTCCATTTGCCACATCCTGTTAGTGTCCAAAGTCAGCACCTGACTGACAGAGGTGATCTCAGGATTTGCTGAGGGAGCAGAGAAGGAAGGACACATGAGGGCTGAGAAAAGGCAGACAGACATGTGAGGACCTATATCTGACTAGAAGAGGGGGCCTTTTTCTCAACAGACAAAGCTGTGCAGTTTTCCGAGGCCTCCTTTACCTGGGACCAGGATTTAGAAGCCACAGTCCGAAAGTGAGTTGTTTCCTTTCCATCCTACTGTTCTTTCAGATTCTCCTTGCCAGTCCTGTTATTGGAAAATTCCATATAACAGAACACATGGGAAACGAGCTATGTGTACAAGTTCAGTTAATGCCAGTGCAGGCTAAATTCCCAGAGAGACAAGTTGACAGCAAAACTCCTGAGCCTCTTTCCCATCACTGCGTCTGCCACTCTGCTATTATAGGTCTGTATTCTTGTCTTCCTGGGGAGGCTGCATGGATCTATAGTGGAAGGAACACTGATATAGGAGAGAGGAGACCAGAGTTCTGGTCCCAGAAATGCCATTAATTGACTTTGTGACCTCGGGCAAGGTATTTCCTGAGATAATCCCTAAGACTGCTCTAACTCTAATATACTGTTTTACTGAGACTTAGTATAGGCTCCTTGAGCTTGAATAAAATGCTCGTGACCTTGCTTTTCCAGGTGTCTGTGATCACATTTTCAGTTTACACCCTGGTGGATAGCAATAACATTTTGGATGCACAAAAGGCCTTTACCTCCATCACAGTTTTCAATATCCTGCGTTTTCCCTTGAGCATGCTTCCCATGGTTATCACCTCTATGCTCCAGGTATGTAGGAACTCTCACTGCTAATTGATTATCTTTGGTTAAATGCCTCAGATTCCAAAATGACTGGCCTATCATATCTCATTTCTAGCTTCCAGTGATGTCTGGAGATTAAGTTTGATCTTAGTAAAATCACAAGCTCTCTGAGCCCCAGTTTACCAAACTATAAAATGAGGATATTTACACAAATCTCATCTACGGCACAATGGTTATGAAAGGTTTTATTGAGGTTATGATGATTAGCCCTGGCACCTGGAACATTTTTCAGCCCTTTTCTCAGCCCAGTTTCCCCCTATTTCCCCAGGTTGTTGGCTTATTTACATAGCATTAGGGAAATATAACACAAAGGGAGAGAATAGACCCTCTCTTGCATGGCACCATGTTGTGGTAAAACTGAATGCAATTTGGGAGTCTTGAGCTGTTAGAAAATGAGTTTGGACTTTGACAGGTCTTGACTAGGAGGACGTTCACTGGGTAGGTGGCAGACTGGTGAGTGCAAGGATCTGCATTCATCCCAGAGGCTGGCTGCAGACAGCTCAGGCCATAAGAAGACTGGGGTTTAGGAGAAGGCTTCCCTGTCCTGGAGGGTCTTAAGAAAGACTGATAGATATGGCTAATAAAGAAACAACACACTCTTTTTAGATTCAGGTAGTTTACTACATAGATAGCAAAGGCAAGCTCAGCAGAGCTGTCAGCTCTCTGCACTCCCTGTCCCACAGGATGACCCTGAAACAAAAGGGGCCACGTGACAATGCAACATGGCAGGGAGCACTCTGCTTTTGAGGAGCTGATCCATGCAGCAGCTAAACCATTTTATAGTCACACTCTAAGGAGGGGGCAAGACAGAGAGTCCAATACTTCATCAACACCCAGGTGGTGGCGAGAAATCATCTCATGACAGCCTCCCTGGAAATAAGGAGGCAGGTGAGAAACATCCCTGTAAAAACTCCTGGGAATCACCCCAAGTTCTCATGTTTCAGGAGACCACAGTGTTCAGCCAATGCTTAGGTCAGCTGCAGTTTAAACTTGGTCTCTGTGGAGATGTGCAAAGTCATTACGTTGTCCTGGACAGTTCTTCTGTAGAGTCCTGGGGTTGGCTCAGTTAGGACACTGGATGAGTCATCCAGGCATGGACTCAGTTAAAGAGGAGCCTGGCAGGGACCCAGTTACCGAACCAGACCAAAGTTAGGGTTTTGTCTTAGAAGAAGGTAGGAGACAGTTTCTGGAACTAGTTCAAAGACTGGAGAGATGGTAACAGAGGTGACACACCCCATGCCCGAGTTTTCTGAGGGGCTGCAACAGAGCATCTTAATTTCCCTTTGTCTGGGGTAGGATGGCTCCCAAGGCTGAGGTGTGGCTGAGACTGTGGTAGGGGTCTGAGGTTCCAGTGGTTGAAAATGGCAAATCCTGGGCAAGACACTGGGCGGGTCAACTATCTGCATCCACATCCAAGGCTGATGACAAAGTCAAAATCCTCTCTTGACTTGTGCTCATCATTGGATATTTTATTTGAGATCCTTTGTGCCCTTTTCTAGGCCAGTGTTTCCACAGAACGGCTAGAGAAGTACCTGGGAGGGGATGACTTGGACACATCTGCTATTCGACATGACTGCAATTTTGGTAAATGAATTTGGAAGATTTTCCCCAAACTTGTTCACAGTGCTGCCGCCAGAACTTTGATATACAAGGGCTTAGCAGCAGCAAACTGATTAAAAGGGAGAGCTAGAGGACTTACCTTGAACCTACGTTTGCATAGTAAACATACTGGTTTTACTTAAATTGTCTTTTCATTTAGAACAGATTGCTTAGCCAGACTGCTAAACAGGTAATCCTGCAAAGGATCTAGAAGGCAAAAGGCAGGATTGAGCATGGCATGTGGAATTGGGAAAGTAGGCTGGAGTGAAAGAACATGCAGGTTCTGAAGATTTAACAATTGGGGGACATCCACAGTTAGAGTGAGCAGTGGGGCTGGAATCCAGGGAAAGGGAGTGGCTGGACTTACCTACAGAGGTGAGATTGATACCAGGAGACTAGGCAACAGGAGTTCTGGGAATATACTTGCAGTGTGTTAGGTTAGGAATCTGGGCTGCCAACAAGCTTGGGATTCCTGAAGCAAAAAGGGCTTTGTATGCAGGCAACCTTTGGTCTTATTCCAGGAGCTTCCATTTGCCACATCCTGTTAGTGTCCAAAGTCAGCACCTGACTGACAGAGGTGATCTCAGGATTTGCTGAGGGAGCAGAGAAGGAAGGACACATGAGGGCTGAGAAAAGGCAGACAGACATGTGAGGACCTATATCTGACTAGAAGAGGGGGCCTTTTTCTCAACAGACAAAGCTGTGCAGTTTTCCGAGGCCTCCTTTACCTGGGACCAGGATTTAGAAGCCACAGTCCGAAAGTGAGTTGTTTCCTTTCCATCCTACTGTTCTTTCAGATTCTCCTTGCCAGTCCTGTTATTGGAAAATTCCATATAACAGAACACATGGGAAACGAGCTATGTGTACAAGTTCAGTTAATGCCAGTGCAGGCTAAATTCCCAGAGAGACAAGTTGACAGCAAAACTCCTGAGCCTCTTTCCCATCACTGCGTCTGCCACTCTGCTATTATAGGTCTGTGTGCAACCAGCTACAAACCAGACTGTGGAGAGACACAGTGCAGGGTTGGCAGTGGCCTTGGTCTGTGGGTAGAGTAAAGGATACACACAGGATCTGAAACTCAATTTAAGTTCATTCCCTCATTCAAGAATAGTACTCAAGAATATCAGAACCTGGCTTCTTTCCCCAAAGTGATCCAAGAGAGCTGTCTCAAGATTTAACTTCAGATCTGAAGTTTTACATCTACCTAACCCATTCCCACAACTCACCCTGTAGGCCACCTCCTCCGCCCTAAGCCAGCCCTCTCTTGCCACACTGCTGCATGCAGTAGGTTTCTTAAGTACACTTGTCACAGCACGCTTCCTCATCCACTGAGCCCAGCACACAGAAGCACCAGGAGCCTGAGCAGGCCAGATCTTCCGTCACAACGGAGCACACCTTATTGTCTCCCTGTTAGAGCCAGGACCTTCCACACTTCTCTCTTATTTCTTCAGGCCTTAACATGGATTCTGGAGCTTGCCCCAGGATTGGTCAGGCCAGAAATCCATCCTCTGAAATTCCCCAACCTGAAGGCCTCCCTTTATAGAGAGGAGACTGGACACAGCTCCCACTTTGCTAGTTTAAGTCTAGAAGAAGTGCAGCTCAATGGGCAGGTTCAGAAAGACTGAGCAAGCTCTAATGTTCCTAATGTTCTAGGGACTCATATAATAGGACTGGCACCCAGAGTTTCCAAGAGTCTAACCCAGTGTGGGCCCCTCCTTACCCAGACACAGCCACCTCTCCAGAGGAGGAGGCAGGGGATCCTTTCTTTCAGCAAGCATTTCATTAAATGGCTAGTCTCATCATGGCCAAGTCTGGGAAACATTGATCTAGTCTAACCCCATTAGTTTATAAATAAGAGTCCAGAGGAAGTGACCTTCCAAGATCACACAGCTCAGTAGTGTCAGAGTTGGGACTTGAATTCAGGCTCAAACTAGGGTCTTGTTCAGTGGTTCTACACTGGTTCCAAGAGAATTTTTCCAGTTGAAACCCATACATTTGGCACAATCAGCATATAGAAAGTTAAAAAAGTTAGAGCTCATGCTCTAGTCTCTGAGAGCTTATAAAAAAAAAGAAGCACTTTGAAGTCTTATATATCTGAGACAAATTTCCTAATCTTGAGGGAAAATCTTCTAATACCAGATTCCCATGGAGAAGTGGCTTGAACTACTACCTTCAAATGTACTTCTCTCTTTCAGTGTGAACCTGGACATTATACCAGGCCAGCTGGTGGCTATAGTGGGTGCAGTGGGTGCTGGGAAATCCTCCTTGATGTCAGCCATGCTGGGAGAAATGGAAAATGTCCATGGGCACATCACCATCAAGGTGAGAGGGAATGCCAAGGGGAAGACTTTTGATGCAGGCCACTTAGGGCTGCTTTCTCCTCTGGGAGATGCATTGAGGACTAGAATCTGACAACTCTGTTGTTGTGTTGCAGTAGGTGAGGTTTTGGAGACATCTGGTAGATTCATAAAGTGTAGATTCTTTGCCCTACCCCGCATGTATCATCAATCTCGGGGGGTAGATTCTAAGAGTTGCATTTTTAATGAGCTCCCTATTTTAATGAATCCCTAGGTGATTCTCATATGCATACTAAAGTTTGAAAACTGGTGAATAGTGATGTATAGACAATTCTACTATATATTTCTGAAACCTCACTTTCTACAGATTTGTGCAGTAAAAATAACAGGACCTAGGGGAAAAGAGTTGGAACAGTTCATTAAAAACTTGCATAACTTTGTAACCAGGGTACCAACAAAAACAATAAAAATGGTAGCACTGTAAACTCTCCACTAGTAATTGCACCCAGCACCACAATCAGTGCTAGGCCTCCCACCTCCTCCTCTGAGAGCCTGGTCTTTGAGAGCACTTGCTTCCAATACAAAAATTCAATGTGGGGTACAGACATCTTCATCAATCATGCTTTTTTTTTAACAGAGAGGAAATCTTGTCATGGCACCTTCGTCAGCACTCTCAGCTTCCCCAGAGAACTAAATTTAGGGGAAATCCTAGTACTTGGTATTATTTAACCAGCCACTACTTGCATCAAAAAGGGCATGTCTATAGATTTTTAGTCTTTTTCTTAAATGCTCATTTATTGCCAAGCCTTACTTTTTAATTATGAGAAACCTTGTCCCAAATGTGTTACACTAACATGCTTAGAAAAATTTTAAGAACAAACACTTCTTCCATGTTATACTGACATTATTCCCTAATTTGCCAATCATTAATGAGCTAATTTGCATTAAATAAACATGCAGGGTAGCAGAGCAGACTGTACAAATTCAACTCTGTTTCTTAATTCCTTTTTTGAGGTGTTTTCTTGCTAACTCAAAACGGAGTTCATCCTCAAACACAGGCATTTGTCAGTCTCCATCTCTCTTTGAAACTGATCTGCCCCATGCATCAGCCTGGTGACCTAATTCTGAACTCTTGGTTCTTGCCTACTAAGATGCCATCTATACCATTTCCCCTGTCAGTGTTAGCCCTTTTTTGGTCCTAGTAAACACCCTGGGGTCTGACTAAAACCCGGTTTTAGAATCAATATTAAGGATCATGACTACAAAATGAGAGCCAAAAAAAGGGGGTACTTAACTGGTGAATAGTATATTAAATCTTTCTCCCTGGTTGGTGCAATAACTACAAGCACATTTATAAATATCAGATGTTCACTCAGCCTGACATACATTTCTTCAAATCTAAGTCCATTTGTTCTTCCTCACTTCTGCCACTCACTCCTCCAACTCTGCATTTCCGGAGGTACAGCTTTTCATGTGGTCTGATCCTTCCCACCCAGGGCACCATAGCCTACGTCCCACAGCAGTCCTGGATCCAGAATGGCACCATAAAGGACAACATCCTCTTTGGATCAGAATTGAATGAAAAGAGATACCAGCAAATTCTGGAGGCCTGTGCACTCCTCCAAGACTTGGAAGTGCTGCCTGGAGGAGACCAGGCTGAGATTGGAGAGAAGGTACTGGAGACACCAGCAGACCTTGAAGGGTGAAAAATAGTGAAGAGAAGAAAGTGAAGATGATGAGGAAGTACATGGGAGTGAAATAGTTGGCCAGTGTTGGTAGTCATGTTTGGAATAAACACTGGAAAACATGAATTTACATAGTATTTTGTATTAACTCAGAAACTTAAAATTTTGTACCTGGGAGAAAATATAGAAATTATGTAATCTAAAGGAAAGACAATGAGAGTAGGATCTGAGAGGTTAACTAACCAGTGATTGGCCCAAGGCTGACCTCCCAGGTGAAGGGCCAGAGACAGATTCAGAGCCTCAGTGTCTTGACTCTACTTTTGTATATTGATGATGGCCAGAGGAGGGTTCTAATAATTTGCTTCAAACACTTACAAAATTAATATCAATATTTTCTCAGGTTATTAAATACCTTTCTTAAAAATAGGTTTTTAATGACACATTTTGTTCATTATGTGCATATTGCCTAATTTGTTTAGAAATTCCAATTACTACGTATTTAGGATGTCTTCATCCTCCCTCCCATTACTAAAAATGAATAGAGCAGTCTTTTAGGCACAGAGATCTTGAAATCTTAGAAGAATAGTGAAGGTACAGCTCTAGAGTGATTTTGTTCATTAATTCAGCATACATTTATTGAGTACCTACTACGTGCCAGATACCATTTTAAGTGCTGGAGTTATATCCATGAACAAAATAGAGAAAACCTGCCCTGGTAGAGCTCTACATTCTTATGGGGCAGAAAGGAACAAAAATAGTACGTAAGTAAATTATATGATAGGAGATGTTAAGTTGGGCATACTTTTAAGCATTGGATCTAAAATAATTTAAGTGAATCAAAATTATGTGTACAATTGGACTTGTAAGATTGTTAAGTCCTTGATACCCTATTGAGGCAAATCTCTTCCTTACCCCTTCTTAATGGCTTCTGTGAAGGTGGGACTATGGAGTAGTACTTAATAGAAAATTTTCTTCTTCTTCAGGGTATAAATCTCAGTGGAGGTCAGAAGCAGCGGATCAGCCTGGCCAGAGCTACCTATCAAAATTCAGACATCTATATTCTGGATGACCCCCTGTCAGCTGTGGATGCTCATGTGGGAAAACATATTTTCAATAAAATCTTGGGTCCCAATGGCCTATTGAAAGGCAAGGTGAGAAATAATTTAAAGTGCTGAAGAGGTGAGGGGGTGAGGGAGATCTATATGTCTTAGGATTGCTGCTGTGCTGAAGCAGACTTCCTTACTTACCTGTCCCCTGGGCTGCTGAGGAGATACAGTGTCAGATCGGTCTCCCAGGAAACCATCTGTGAAGGCTCCTTTCTTGAGATCATGGCTTATGCTGGAACTGGCTAATTCGAGCCTTACTCTGTGGCTCCAAAGGTGAGCCTCTTAGGATGATTGATCAGGATAAAAAGTACTTTGAGACCTATGGTGTAATAATAACTATATTTGGTCTTTGTTCCCAGTTCCTGGAACAGGGCTCGTAACCCTTGGAATTTCCCAAGTGAAGCTAAGGAGTATCTTTTTTCAGTTGTGATAGCCCCTTTAGATCACACCTGAGTCTATGCTAATGTGACTTAGGGTGGGACCCCTGGACAGCCTTGGGACAGGGCTATTTGCCAGAAAGATGGAAGGATTGGGTCGGGGAGGGTTGTCTCTCCGTTCCACCCACCAACTTCTAAGGGATGAATAGAGGGGATGGAGATTGGGTTATAAAAATTCTTAAACACAGTAGGTTCAGATTGCTTCTGGGTTGATGAACACATTAAGATGCCGGGAGGTTGACATACCAGGTGAGAGCGTGGGAGCTCCACATGTGCACCCCTTCTCCATGCTTGCCCTGTGCATCTCTTCCATTTGACTGTTCCTGGTTAGTATCCTTTGTAATAAACCTATAATAAACATAAGTAAAGTGTTTTCCTGGGATCTGTGGGCCATTCTAGCAAATTATTGAATCTGAGGAGGGGGCTGTGGGAATTCTTGGGTTATAGCTAGTTGGTCAGGAGTATGGGCAGCCCAAGACTTAAAACTAGTTTCCCAAGTCAGGGCAGTCTTGTAGGAATAGGCCCTTAAGCAGTGAGGTTTATGTTAATTCCAAGTAGTCAGTGTCCAAACTGAGCTGAACTGTTGGACACCCAGCTGGTGTCAGAAAACATCCTCAGAAGACCCCATAACTTATCTGGCTTGTGAGACACAGATCTTCCTGCAGGTGTTAGGCTATGCTCTAAGAAGGCACTTTTCTAGAACCCTGGCAGCATATAGGAACATTATGCCTAGAAAGGATGACTACCTGAACACAGAAATACAGCTAACATGTTTGAATATTTATTATGTCCTGAGCCTATGCTAATTGCTTTTGTTAGGGGGTTTGAGTTTATTTTCCTCAGTTCTTGTCCCTGCCACAACAAAGAATTGAAGGGCAGAGACACAGTAGTGAAGGAGAGCAAAAGTTATATTTGAATGCAGTCCAAGAGAGGAGCAAGCCACAGTCAAGGCAGATAAAGGCAGGTTTATTTGACTACACTCCAAGGGAGGAGTGGGCTACAGTCAAGATAGACAAAGGCAGGTGTACTTGAATAAAGCAGAGAGAAAGGAAAAGTAGAGAGAGAAAAGGGAAGCTCATTGAACTGCTGCTCAGCATAAGGGCATAATCCCTTACCAGCTCCTAAAGCCAGTGTCACCTGGTGTCCAGTGTTTATTTGGATCTTTATGGCATGGGAATTAAGTCCCTACCACCCCAGGATTTGGGGGAGCCACAGAGCACTGGATGGAGTGCGATTATGTTCTAAGAACTTCCCAAAAGCAAAGAAAAGAGATTTTTAGGCAGGCTACTCAGGAGCATGATTGTACAACTGTCTGGGTCACCCAAGCGACAGGAACTTGCAAGCCCAAATCAGAGCTCTCAGCAGCCCCTCCCTACTTACCTGAAGTATGACAGAGAGAGTGACACACTTGAAGAAAGGTGAGTGTGGACAATCTCAGAGAGGAGGTGTGCTTAAGCATATGGGGGCTAGGGTTTTATAGGGCTTTTTTGGGTAAGGGTCAGCATAAGGCATGATGTATGCAGGTGATTCATAATTCCTTAGAAGTTTTGTCTTAAAAATAGGGTTATTTAGGTGACCGTGTTGGCTTGGGACTTCAGCATTCTTTGTTCACATAGGTTTATTTATACTTCCCAGGTCTGTCTCTTGCCCTGGTTACAAAGTTACTTGATTAGGGGCAAGAAGAAGAGGAAAAAACAGAATTTAGGTTAAGTTAAAGAATAATATGGTCCTCTTAGCAGGCTAAAGTAAATTTTGCAATGGCATGATCTAATTGATACAATGAAGGCATGGGCTGTTCTCAATACTTTTCTTTATCTGGGGAATATCCGGACATTCCAAGTTGCTCCTGGCCTTTGGAGCTTTAGCTAATTAACTCATTAACTCTGTGAGTCCTTTCTGGCTCTCTGGTTTTATCTGGTTAACTCTTTGAGTCCCTTTTAGTGGACTTTACTGGCCTTTTCTCCCTCCACCTGCTATTATCTATTTTCTGCCTAACATTTTGATTGCATTGTCTCATTTGATTTTCACAATGCCCTGTGAAATAGTACAGACAAAGGGGCTACAGCAAGTCACTAGAGCTGGTTATAGGTAGAGACTAGGCTTTCCTTGCCGTGGGCAAGTTAGCACATTTGTCCTGACACAGTGGGCTGAAAGGGGGAGTTTTGAATATCACAAGTGTTTGAATATGCTCCCCATCCCCTGCAAGTGTAGAATGGGGGCTGTCAGTTTGCAATACCTCCCTCAGCACTAGGCAGTTAATGTTCCATCTATATTTGGCTTTTCCCTTTCAGATTTCTTGAATGCTGCCCAGTCAGAGGATGGCAGGGTGGACTGGGCTACCGTCCCACTGAGGTTCTCTGCCTCTCTCTTGGATCAGGGAGTCAACAACAGCTCACCCTCTCTCCTGTTCCTGGTCCTGGGTTTTGTCCTTAAGGCTTCTTGGCTCTATTTATAAACTGAATACTCATCCTATGCCTGGTTTGTTGCAAAGATGTATAGATGAAAAGGTCTGGTCCCTGCTTTCAAGCAACAAACAATCTAATGGGAAAACATATAGAAAAGCAAACAATAATATTATAATACAATAATTGAAGGAATACCCAAGTCTTGCCTGGGGGCTCAGGAAAGGCTTCTAGAAGAGTTGACTTTGAGCTGAGACTTGAAAATGAGCCTCTCCTGGGTCTTCCAGATAAGAGGGACCTATCAGCTATGGGGCTATGAAGTAGACAGCAGAGACGATGGGCTTGGGTTATCTCTCCAGAGGCCGGCCATTCTCAACCCCATGGCCCCTATCTGAACCTCACTACTGATCCCTGAGTGTGTGTCTTTCTCTGAGGGGCTCTCTGTGTCAATGTAGTTCATAAATAGGCAGGAATACAGGATGCCAAGTCTGTCACACCTGGGAGGGCCGGGGCCAAAGACAAAATTCTTGCCTCACAGTGTCTCTAACATGCTGAAAGAATCCAGGCTATTCTTGTTAGTGCCATTGCTGAGCTGGTTAGTGAAAGGGGCAGTTAGTTAGCTAGTTATTTAGCTAGTTTTATATGCACCTTGATCTCAAATGATATTCCTAAGCCCAACTCTTGGCTACCCAGGAAGCTGGAGAAGAATATGTACGGGGCAAACCTCATTGTCACTACAGGAAAATAACTGAATATGCCCACAATGACACAAGTCTAATCCTAGGTATAGGGTCAGGTTTTAGGATGAGGCCCTGGAAAGGAAAGAGGAAGTAAAAGAGGTCATGTGCTCAGGACCACATTTTGAAACAAAGTCCCACAGTGAATTGAAACATCTGTTTTTCCTTTTATAGATCAAGCCAGGGACCCAAAGTGGTAGACTTGAGCAAGTAGTCAGCACAGCTTATTGTTGTTTTTACAGACCCGCCTCTTGGTTACGCACAGCATTCACTTTCTTCCCCAAGTGGATGAGATTGTGCTTCTGGGCGATGGCACCATCTTGGAGAAAGGGTCCTACAGCGCTCTGCTGGCCAAGAAAGGATTGTTTGCTAAGAATCTAAACACATTCATAAAACAGACGGGTCCTGAAGGAGAGGCCACAGGTATGTGAGGAGGTTTGGAGCAGGACAGAACTTGTGTATGGGAAGGGGTGGGAGTGGTAAACTGCTGTTTACCTCTTGAACAATTCCATATCCACTGAACTAGATCTGGAAGTGACTCATATGGAGACCCAAAGTCCGTTCTCTCCCCATTCTGTGTCACTGTAAAGAGACACACACATAGAAACGTTCTGCCTGAGCCAAACTGGGGGCTCCCCTTGCTCATCTGGTCTCTGACATGCAATTAAAGGCTCTCTTTAGAAGGGTGTGGCTGGAGGGTTGGGGTAATTAGCCCCTGTGGAAGGAACAGCGATGGCATGAGGAGCCCCCTTTTAGGGATGCCCTGCTTCTATTGACTCAAGTCCCACATCCTACCCCTCCTACCCCAAATCCATTAAATACACTTCCTGGACAACTTCACAGGCTGATACAAATTGTGCACTGCTAAATTCTTGGGATCTTAACTGATATACCCAAACCACTGGGTGTTTTGAGCCAGATAAAAATCCTGGCAGTTGCATAGTCTCACAGTATACTACAGGAATAGCCCCAAATGCCACCCTCACTGGGGTCACCAATTAGCTCTGGTCAGCAATACAGGCTATTCCCCAAGATCTTCCCCAAGATCTTTCCCAAGAATGTGCTGTTGTTCTGGGTATCTGCTTCAAGTAATAGTCACCGGCAGGATGTCAGGACCGAGAACTCACAATCTGGAGGGTGCAGGGACATCCTGAAGTCAGTCAGAAGAGCGAGTAGTTACAGAGCCTGCAAGTGGGAACACAGTTCAGGCTTCCAGGTCAGGGCATGTGATGGTTTTAAACTGCCCTGAGTGCACCAGAGACAGAAAGAAAAGCCTAAATGAGGAAGTCTGTAAGCGTTGGAGGGACAGGGCAGGAACAAAGAACAGGATGGTCTGGGAGACTGGGATTAGGAGCCAGCCCTGAAGTGGGGCAAGGGCACCAGAAACAAGCAGAAAGGAAGGAGTCAAAGCTTCCCATCAGCCTTCTTATGCTCTAGGAATTGGCCTGGAGGACACAAAAAGCACCTGCCTGGGGAGTTAAGGTCCAAAAACAAAGGACAATGCCCCGTGCTGGTCCTTGAGTTACTGCTCAGTCAACCTCATCACCACAACCTGGACAGTTTTCCCATGCAAAATTCTAAACATTTTTTCTGACATGCCTGGATCTGAGTTTCTGGATTTTGTTATAAATCCGCATGGATAGACATCCCCTTTGAAGAATTCTATCTTTCATGTCCAAAGGGCAGCTTACAAAATAGCTCATTAAACCCTTGTTTTGGTAAACTTTGATAAAACACTTCTGAGCAGTGCCTGGCATGCTGTTGTGTTGGTTCTGGGACTTGAGGTACAGCCCACAAGATGGCAGCAAGAAGGGCAGGGTAGGGCAGGAGGGCACGGGGACCTGTATGAATATTGGCTCTATGTATTAGCTTCCTAATAAGCTGCCATAGCAAAACACCACAAACTAGGTGGCTTAAACAACAGAAACTTATTATCTCACAGTTCCAGGGGCTAGAAGTTCACAATCAAGGTGTTGACAAGATTGGTTCTTTTGAAGGTGGTAGGAAAGATCTATTTCAGACCTCTTCTCTTTTACCGGTTTGTCGGCAATCTTTGGCATTCCTGGTTTGTAGACATATCAAATGATCTCTGCCCTCTTCTTCACATGATGGTCTCCCTTGTGTGCATTTCTGTGTCCAAATTTCCCCTTTTTATAAGAACTTAAGACATATTGGGTTAAGAGCACATCCTGCTCCAGTCTGACCTCATCTTAACTAATTGCATGGACAGTGACTTGATTTCCCAATAAGGGCACATTCTGAGGAAGTGTGGATTAGGACTTCAACATATGAATATTGGGGGGACACAGTTCAATCTGTAACATCTGTCCTCTGGCACCCAAAAATTCATATTCTTCCCATGTGCAAAATATTTACCTCATCCCAGCCTCTGAAAAGGCTTAATCATTCCAGTATCAACTGTAAGTCCAATATTTCACCTAATTGTCAATTTGAAGCCCCAGATTTCATCATCTAACTCATATAAATCAGATGTGGTGAGACTTGGACTCACGGGGCAAAATTCCTCTCTATCTGTGAACCTGTAAAATCAGACAAGTTACCTGCATCAAAATACAATGAAGAGTCAGGCATAGGATAGATATTCCCAGTCCAAAGGGAGAAATCAGAAGGAAAAAGGGAGTCATGAGCTCCAAGCCAGCCCCAAAGCTAGCAGGGTTTTAAGGTTTGTTAATAATCCTCTTTGGCTTGGTGCTGTGTTCTCTGGGCTTACTAGGGTGGTGGGCAGTAGCCCTGGGCAATAGTCCCACCCTCTGGAACTAAGGACCAGCCAATCTCTGCACCGCCTTCCAAGTCATTTTCCTCTTTTCTTCATGGATAATGCACGTTCAAGCCTGGGCAGTTGTGCTGACTCACTCACAGTCTGTAGAATCCCAGAAGTCTGACAGGGTTCCTTCATTTCGTCTTATCTCTATTCCCTACAGTCTAAGGTGGCAGCATATCTGCTAAAATGATTGACTGGATCAAGTGCCATGCCTAATCTCTTTAGCAAATCTACTGTTGGGCCTTTCTAGTGAATTTTTCACTTTAGTTATTGTACTTTACTACCCTAGAATTTCTATTTTATACTTTCTGAATGATTTCTCTCTCTTTATTGATGCTTTCTATTTGGTGAGACCTCGTTCTCATATGAGAACAAGATCTCATTCCTTCAGATCTTTAGACATGGTTTCCTTTCGTTCTCCCAGTGTATTTATGATGGTTGATTTAAAGTCTGTTTAGTAAACCCAAGGCCTGTGCTTCCTCAGCCAGTTTCTGTTGACTGCTTTTTTTCCCATGTATGCTCCCATTCTTTCCTGCTTGTTTGTATGTATCACAGTTTTTTATTGAAAACTGCTCATTTTAAATAATAGAACAACTCTGGAAATAAGATGTCTCTCCCTTCCCTCTTCTGCTGGGGTCTGTGGTTGTTGTTCCTTCTGTTTAGTTTCCTGAATAATTATGTTAAGTCTGTATTCTTTGTCATATGTGACCACTGAAGTCTTTGCCCTGTTGGCTTGGTTAGCGGACAGTTAATGGTTGGACAGAGATTTCCTTAAGTGCCTGGAAGCAGTAAGTCACTCAGCCTCTGCTGAGAGGCTGTGTGTGTGTGTGTGTTTGTGTGTGTTGGTGGGGAGGGCAGGAGCATGTCTTCAATACTCCAGGAGGCAGTTTACAGTTCTGCCTTAGCCTTTGTTTCCTGCTTGCACAGAGCCTGAAGGTTAGCCAGAGGTAAGAGAGTAAGGCCTTCTCAAGCCTTTCCTGGGTGTGTGCACGACCCTACACATGCATATGACATTCTAGGTTTCCAGGAACGTACTCACCATATCCAACTCCCTATGAATATCTTACTGTCCAAGTTTTCCTTTTCAATCTTAGGTCAGCTTCTTATTTGCCCCAACTGTCATCACAACTAAGGCAGCTGTGATGCTAAACAATTGCTGGTCATCTGTTCAGCTGGCAGCCCTCATAACCTCCATATTTCCATTTGATCATTCTCTTTTTCTGTGTGGGCTTTTCCTGAGTTAGAGGACAGCACGGACAGTTCCAGCTTTTCCTTTGTTCCTCTGCATAGGGAGGAGGGATAGGGTAGTGTGTTTTCCCCATGGCCACCTGCTCTGGAATGCTGATGGTCTGAGCAAGCTCTAAGTCACATCCAAAAAAGATAAGTTCTGTGTATGGGGTTTTCCTGGAAACTGCCAGATAGGTCAAATAATGACAATTCTCCAGGCACGAGGCTTTTCAGGAGGTTCAAAACAACTCTGTTCCCTCCAGCAGCTGCTAGGCTGATAGTTTCATGGTTACCATGGTTGTGAGGCTGTTCTAGGGTACAGCAGATCTGAGGAGAGGGAGATGGAATGGGGCAAATTAAACTATCACAAAGCTTACTGTTCTTTCTGAAATGAAATCATTTTTCTTAAATAAATGCTCCACAGATTGTTGCAGGCCTTTGATTAATTTCAGAGTTATGAAAAAGTTGATTTTGACAATTTTTTGCTAGTATTCTCATTGCTTTTATGGAGGTACCAATTTCCAGAGGCCCTTCCTCTACGATTCCCACTGATGCCCAGGCTATTTTTTTTACATTTTATTTTGTTACTTCCACAATATGTTTTTTAAATGCTTTAAATTCATAGAAGTTTTCAAATTATTTGCATTCTCAGAAGAGCATTTTTAATTTACACTCACCTCTTTAATCAATTATGTTGAATTATGACTCCTGTTTATCTACTAGAACCCTTAAAAGTTATTTTCTGCTCCAAAAGAACTTAGGAGCTTCTGGAAATAATTTTCTCTTTTAGGCCATTTTCTTTTCCAGTGGAAATATTAATTCATCTCTTCTTTATCCTGATATTTCTCAATAAGAAGATGTACTAATAAGCAGTAATTCTTGAGTAAAAGATATGTACATCTGAGATCTCTTGCTGAGGCCAGCAAGATCAGAAATTATTCTCTCTCCATGTTCATAGGGCTGTGAGAGCTCTATGCAGTCATCTCCCTAACCTTTGGCATGTTTCTTAGTCAATGAAGACAGTGAAGGAGAAGGTGACTGCGGGCTGATACCCAGTATGGAGGAAATCCCTGAGGATGCAGTCTCCTTGACCATGAAGAGAGAGAACAGCCTCCATCAAACACTTAGACACAGGTTGGTTATCTGTTCAGCTGGCAGCCCACATAACTTCCATATTTCCATTTGATCATTCTCCTTTTCTGTGTGGGCTTTTCCTGAGTTAGTGGGCACCATAGACAGTCCCATCTCTTCCTTTTGTTTCTTTGTGTCGGGGAGAGGATTGGGGTGGTGTGTTTCCCCCATGGCCAACTGCTCAGAAATGCACCTTGATGCAAGCAGAGCAACTGTGACATCTGCATGCAAGACCTTTAGGATGCACCTACATCTCAAGAAAACTTTTCCCCCTCAATCTTTCAGTTCTAGGTCCAGCAGAAGGCATCCAAAGTCCCTGAAACTCTCCCTGAAAACTCAGAATGTGAAAACCTTGAAAGAAGATGAAGCACCAGTGAAAGGACAGAGACTAATCGAGAAGGAATTCATACAAACTGGAAAGGTGACTCCACGATAATAAGTACCATTAGAGGTGATATAAGGCTTGGGATCCAAACATTTTAAAGTTTGATGGCTTGAATACATATTTATAGGAGGGATATGTTTTATGCGCTTTGCAAATCTTTGAGTTCATCATTGAAATGTTAGTAGAGGCCCTGCGCTCTCCATGAAGAATGATGTTCCCTGTGATGATCTTTATACCACATTTCATGAGGGTTTGATTCCATTCTGATATGTAGAGAAAACAAAACAGCTTTGAGATGCAATTCTGGGAGCCAGTGAACACTAATATATCAGTCTCAGAGCATTCAATTCAAATTCAGAAAACGCAAAACCACTGTCTTAAATTTAAGGTCTTATCTGAAATCTAAATTAATAAAACAATTCCAAGGTATACACACTGTAACCCCATCTGTCCCACTCTGTTTTTATATCTTCCCCTCTTAATTTCATCTAGAAGCTCACAAATAATCTGAGGATTTATTTACCCCACACTGAACTTCAGCATTGATTATTATCCTGGCCCAAAGCAGAAATGATGACCTTAGGCTACCAAATTCGCTACCTTCTAACCGCTTTTCCAGGAAACTCCACTTACCCCGTAATTGGTATTTTAGGTATTTCCTCACCAAAGCCATTAGGAATTCTACTTATATTGAGGTGGGGGCTTTGCAGGTGAACTTCTCCATCTACCTGAAATATCTACGAGCAGTAGGATGGTATTCGATATTCTTCATCATCTTTGCCTATATGATCAATTCTGCGGCTTTTATTGGATCCAACATTTGGCTCAGTAATTGGACCAATGACTCTAAAGCCTTCAACAGCACCAACTATCCAGCCTCTCAGAGGGACATGAGAGTTGGTGTCTATGGAGCTCTGGGAGTAATTCAAGGTATGTCGGACGGCTCTGACAGCCATCTTACAGAATCTGTGTGGTCTGTGCGCTTTGCCTGGACTCAGAAAAAATTGCCATTGTATCCTTGGCATGGGTCTCCAGGGATCCCTGTGCATGCTGATAACTAACTCGGTTCCATTTCTAGGTGTATTTGTGCTCATAGCAAATCTCTGGAGTGCCCGTGGTTCCACCCATGCATCAAATATCCTTCACAAACAACTACTGAATAATATCATCCGAGCACCCATGAGTTTTTTTGACACAACACCCACAGGCCGGATTGTGAACAGGTTTGCTGGGGTAAGTATCTCAAAGGCTGAGAGATGTTGTGTTTATATGCTGGGGATCTTTCTATTTCGCACAGGGAAATATTCCTGTCTCCCCCTAAGCAACACTGTGCAGTTCCAATTCTTTTGTCCAAGAATGCAAATATTTCTTGAGTGCCTTGTGTGAGGTCCCATGTGTCCTGGGGATGCAGGGATGAACAGCTCTGACCCTTTCAGTAGCTTACCATTTTGTGAGGGAGACAGCCAAGGAAACAAAGGATTATGATAGAATGTGGTAAAACCAATAGCAGTGATGTGTACAGTGGTCCTCTGGGAGTACAAAAGAGTGACAGAGGAGAAAGGTATTTGCACAGTCTGGGTGACTGGGGGTGGGAAATGTCAGAAAAAGTGAGACTGGTGTTAAATCATGGAAGTTAGGCAGGGAGATGGTGGGCGTAGAGTGGGGGGTGGGGGGTGGCAGCAGAAGGAGAATGAGAAGGATTAGTCTGCAGAGGAAAACACAAGTAAAAGCGTTATCACTGGCTGTGACAGTGAGTAAAAGGGATAACAGTATAACCATTTGCTTGGTCTCTCACTCCATTCCTGAAACTTCCATCTTTGATGCTTTAAAAATAAGTAAATTAGGTCTGGATTATGGGAGAGAGCCACCTATAATTTCAATGAGGTTTTTAAACATTGTTTCCATCTGCTGCAGATTCTGGAACCATGAGCATTCATTCAGCAACATTTATTGTGCATCTTCTATGAGCCAAGGACTGTACTAGGCTTTGGGATGCTCAGTACAAATTAAGATAATAGATGGCTCTCTTCCATGGGCCAGACCAAATTCATTGATTCTTAATGCACATGAGAATGAAATTTTAGGAACAGAGACAGAAACAAGGTAATTCTGAGTAATATTCAACTATTATCAGCACAGTTTTCAGCCCTCTGTTTGTAGAAAAGGGAGCACATTTTTAAAAATGAGCAGCTCTGGATCCTTCCATCTTGGAGCAGATACAGAAAGGCTAGCTCACAACCCACAGCCAGGTTCTGAGGACATTATGACTGCTTAGAAGTGGGCAGGTGACTGGCCTTCATTTATCACCTTCCTCTGGAACAAAAATGGTGGGCCTGGTGTCACTGGAGACAATTTCAGTGGTATTTCTGCTCTTTAATAGAACCTACAAAAGTATATAATCTTGGATGGGAGATTTCTCACAGGACTTTTGCAATTATACCACTTCCAATCTTATAATATAAATGTAGTTAATTCCTGAAAAAGAAACGGAGATCTTACTGTGATTTACTTAGGCAATAGTGGTATTTTTCTAACTGCTTGTGCATGAAAAAGGAAACTGTCATTAATTTTATAGTGAATTTTCTTGGGGAGGTGTCTCAGGCCTATTAATAAGAGTCTTATCTAGGGTCCTCTAGAACCAATGGCTAAGCTCTTAAGAGGAGATGAGGAAGGGTGGAGGAAAGAAAGATGGAGAATCTGTCCAGAGTGGGAGTCAAAAGTAATCTGCATAGAACTGAAGCTGGTAAGGATTTTTTTTCCTGCCAAGCCTGGACATACGTTATTTGCACTCCAATGTGACTTTGGGAAGGTAAATTAGACTAAGGAATCATTTACTCTTCAGGATTCTCTTGGGAAAATGATATCCCTTACTCAGTTTGGGACACTATGGTGATAATTGGACTCAATTTTTTTCCTGCCAAGCCTGGACATACGTTATTTGCACTCCAATGTGACTTTGGGAAGGTAAATTAGACTAAGGAATCATTTACTCTTCAGGATTCTCTTGGGAAAATGATATCCCTTACTCAGTTTGGGACACTATGGTGATAATTGGACTCACCTTGATACTCACATATTACTAATCCTAGAACCAATATAATCTATAAGAAATATAGGCAAGGGAAACCCAAAATAGAAGCCAGGCTTCCTGCATATACTAAACTGTCCATTGATCCATCCATCCATCCACCCATCGGTCCACCCATTAATTTGCTCATTTATTCAACATCACATGAAGGTGACATGGCAGTAAAACCCATCTATCACCTCTGGGTTTCTTAGTTAGAACACTGGCCAGGCAGGGGTCACATTCAGTCTGCACCTCCCACTACCCTTGAAGCTCTATGCTGGGTAGAGAAACAACTTCCCAGGTAGAGGATGGTTCCTCAGTCAAGGGTGAGAGACAGGGCTTGTTGCCTGAAGCCTCCAAATAAATGTGTACTGAATCCTCATCATGTACCAGGCTCTGTTCTAGGTAATCAGTGGAACTAGGACTTGTGTAAAGTTGGAATAATTGAATTGGCTCAGTTATAGTAAGATTTACCTTTAAGGTTTATTAGCTTTCAATGGTTATAAACTGTTTAATAAATTTGACAAATGGAAATTTCACTAAGAAGAATGAAGATCTTTGCCAAATCTATTGAAAATGGTGAAAGATGACTGCCCTATCTGTTTAGAGGGATTTAGAAAGATGAAGAAATTATGGAAATGAGATTGGCTGTTGGAGTGAGCAGCCGAACAGCTATTGCAAACGAACATCATGAAACAAACAAAGGAGTCACTGGGAACCTCCAGTCAAACCAGTACCTAGCTGGAGTTGGGACGATGTAAAATGTCCTAGGAACTCACTGGTGTGTCATTTCTCCTGACGGTGTGTCCCTAGGATATCTCCACGGTGGATGATACCCTCCCCATGTCCTTGCGCAGCTGGGTCTTGTGCTTCCTGGGGATCATCAGCACCCTTGTCATGATCTGCATGGCCGCCCCAGTCTTCATCCTCATCATCCTTCCTCTCACCATCGTTTATGTGTCTGTTCAGGTGGGTTTGGAAATGGCTAGGTCTCCTCTCTACTTAGAAAAGCCTAGGCTCCTTCCTGAGAATCTTCTCTTTTGCTTATTGATAGTCACTTGCTTCTCTCCAGCATCTTTGTCATTTAGTCATATACTGACACACTGAGGAGGCCACAGGACACTGTCTGAAGGTGAAGTGTCAGCACCAATTGGTATATAGTCACAGCAAACCTCACTTCAGCTGCAGCCCCCAGGAAAGCTTAAGTGGGGCAGGTTTATGTTTGGATCTTATGTACTTTGAGGTTGGCTCTGGACAAAATCTTGGAGATCATACACACACACACGCACATACACACACACAGTGGTTCGGTTCTAGTCACTCCTGGAAGAGCCATGCTATGGCTGTTTCTCTGGCTGGCCTTAGCTTGCCTTCTTAGAGATGGCTCTCAGCAGGAGCTAGATCTCCTTTCCCTTCAGGGACAGTTTTGGTGAATGGTGATGGGAACGGCGATGGCTTAGGCTCAAATCTAATGTGTTAAGGGAGCAGGTAGCTCAAGGGTCAAGTCTCACAGAAAAACTGGAGCAAGTGGAAGGGACTCCATGCTCATAATAAGAAGTGACAGAGGGAGGGAGGCTGTGGAGAGAACTGTTGTCCTACCAGTTGTCTTTGGGATGAAATGTTCACCTCAGAAAAACAATTCTGAGGACTGCAGTCACAGGCAGCCTTGTGCTCTGTGGTTTGTGTTGAATTCCTCAGGCACACTGTCATCTCAGTAACCGTCTTTCAATTGTTAATAACAAAGCAACAACTAAGAAACACGATATTAAAGGAAACTTTCAGGTATAGGATTTTGAATTATGACTCTTAATGTCCAGCTCTTCCCTGGTTTCAACAAATCTTCACAGAATCTAGTAGCACCATTAACCCATTCCCTGAACCTCACCCTTCAGCCCTCATGTCTCAGAAAGTCTGCCTGCCCTCACTACTACATCCAGTGCCAGTTTTGACCCTCAACATTGCACACACCTCTAGAGCTATCTTTACCTTCCCACATCATCAAGGCACAGGTTAGGTCATTTACTGATTCTATTCCATTTTTATGCAAACTTTAGCTTACCTTTCTCTGTTCTTTTCCTGCCCATTTCCACTTTCCACACCCCTGGGGTCCCAGCTGCATTTGCAAAATCCTTTTGGAGATCATTTTTCTAACTCCTGTAAAAACTGCCACTTGGAGGGTACATGCAGATTCTTGCAGAGGACATGGATTAGGCTGACGAAACTCCTCACATAGTTTGGAAATTCGATCTCTAAGGCTACAGACTTCGCACTTTCCTCCTCCTCTGCTCCCCACTGACCCACCATCCTCCTCCTCTGGGCCTCTCTCATCATTCCTCCAGCCAGAGGTGAGGCTGGAGGCTTCTGTCCTGTTCAGATGTGGGCTGTGGCCATCAAGGTGAAGAGCACTGGGTCATAGCCACAAAAGAAGAGCTATGACAGTGGATATGGTTGTGTGACTAACTGATTCTTTATTTTTGGGGTCCAGATACTTTACATGGCCACTTCCCGCCAGCTGAGACGTCTGGACTCTGTCACCAGGTCCCCAATCTACTCCCACTTCAGTGAGACTGTGTCAGGTTTGTCTGTCATCCGTGCCTTTGAGCATCAGCAGCGGTTTCTAAAACGCAGTGAGGTGGGGATTGACACCAACCAGAAGTGTGTCTACTCCTGGATTACCTCCAACAGGTGCTTTGGGGTTCTGCTTGTTTGACCTTAGCTATGAGAGTGCAGGAGTGGCCAGCGATGTGAGGCTTAGTCTGGACACGCATGCCTGTCTTGGAAGGAGAGAAAAGAAAGCATGAGCTTTAGTCAGAGACTGGGTCCCTGTGCCTGCTCTACCATTTACTGAGCTGGCTGAATGGCCTTGACCTCGCTGAGGAAAATCTCATTTTCTTTGTTTTCACAATGGCTAGAACACAACCTGTCTCCCAATGACCCAGACATTCTCTGCTTCCCTGAGAGTGACGTGCGATCCTCCATAGTCAGGACACTCTTTGCAGGGTAGTGAAAGAAGCAGAGTTGAGGCAGGGGAATTGGAAACCCTAAGGGAAAATCAGTGATGGCAGAAATGGAAAGCTCCCACCCACCCTGCGAGCATCCCCGGGTAAGGTGAGCATTCCTCATTGCTCCAGCTTTATTCAGCCTGGCACAAAGTGGCATGTCCTTGAAGGAGGGAGGTCTTCTTCAGGAAGTGAAAGTTCTTGAGTGGCTTCCACATTGCCTACTCAAACAAAATCACTTGGGACGCTTATTAAAAAGGCAGATTCTACTCCCCACAAGTCAGAATCTCCTGAAGGAGTCCAAGAAATTTTTTCCATGAATTTGTGTATTTTTAACAATTGCCCTAGACAATTCTTATGATTTGGTGAGTTTGGGAGACATTGAGCCATAGGATTCCCTTAGTTTAGCAAACTCCTTTAGTATCTTTAAAATACAATTTATTTTTTAAAATCCAATTTAAAAGATGTTAGGAACACATGGTGTAGTCAAATTGAGGCATCTCCTAAGAACATAGCCTCCCAATTCAATCCCTCTTAGAATGTTTTGTGAGTACCTAGGTTTCCGGTTAAGATAAGGAAGTTGGAGATCGGTGACACCTGTCTCTGATTCTGTCACCCTACAGGTGGCTTGCGGTTCGGCTGGAGCTGGTTGGAAACCTGATCGTCTTCTTTTCATCCTTGCTGATGGTTATCTATAGAGACAGCCTAAGTGGGGACACTGTGGGCTTTGTTCTGTCCAATGCACTCAATGTGAGTCTGCAGCCTGGGAGTATGGTTAAATTGATGGCTATTCTTAAATTGCTTAGAGAGTATACTATGGAGTCTGTGCTCTTAATTCCTTTCTAGATCCAGAGGGGCTAGAGGACACTAAGGCTCAAACCCTGGCTCCATCTCTTGCTACTTGTGTAACTCACAGACATGTTCCTTACCTTTTCTAACTTGGTACCAGTGTCACATGGGAAAATGGATATAAATTTTGTTGCATTTTGGAATTAAGAAAGCAGTTTGATATGATTCAGTATAATAGTTCCCTCTTTGACTTTTTGCTTGATTCTAGTCAAAAGAGAAGAAATGAATTTCTTTTCCATAATATAGCAGTAACCAGAAAGTCTTCTGAACAAATAACTTCTCCTATGTTGGTGCTTCTTAAATCACAGAATAGAGTTAATGCTAATAAAGAACACAGAATACAATAATGCATCCCTAGCATAACTAGGGGAAATTGTTAGACATTATTTCCTAGCACCTAAGACAGTTTTTGGCACTACAGTAAATGTTCAATAAATGACATTCATTTAATGAGTCATTTGGCCATCTTTCATGGCATCTTCTGAACTCATATACTAAAGGTGTGAATAGCTACCAGCAGGCTCTATTTGGTGCAACCTTCTGTAGAGTTAATAAGGCCCAAGGCAACCGTGGCAGGACACCCAAAAGGACCCTGTTGTTCATCAGTTACTCAGTTCCTTCTGCCACTGCCCCTTCATCACCTCATTTCTAGGCTTATTATCCTAGGGCAGATGGAGTAAGAGTTAGAGAACTGTTAGGCTGGGCCAAAACAAAAACACTGAAATATCAATTTCATATGGTTCAGTCTACACAAAGTGATTTACTCCTTTCCCCCATGATCCTATGCCCTCCTCTCTCTAACCACCATTGGCTCAGTGAAAAATCCCTGGTGTCTTTGTCTGAAAGAAGCTTGCATCTGAGTAATTCATAGATCCTTGGGACTCTAGCCTGGCCCAGATCATGACAACCCTGTTACTGGTGTTAGACATATCTTGGTAACAGCAGGAAGGCAGCTGGAGGTTACTGGGGTGAAGGAGGACAAGGGCCCCTCGTGGATGTCCTACCTTGAGGGCTGGCTCTCAATCGAGCTCTTGTTAACTGAGAGCAAAGAGAGGTGGCAATGCTTTGGAAGCATTTTCTTGCCCTGTGTCTTTCCTTTTGCTTTCCCCGCTTGTGGAATGCCACCCATTGCCCCTGCCACAAAGGACTTGGTTCTGGTCCTACTACACCAAGGGCTAGCTTCTCCAACCCCAGCGTTAACCCCAGGCCACCCCAAGCTCACATTACCTTCACAGTCAAGCACTTGATTGTCCTCCATCCATTCCTCCCCCAGAATGGTGAGGACTATCTTCTGTATCTTTCCTTGCTCCCTCAAAGCTTGGCATAGTGCTGCGTACAAATTAGGCACTGGATTGACCTTGTGGTTTGGTTATTTGAATTGGTTTCTGAGCCTGAGATGATCTTTAGTCTTCTGGTTTTTCTGTAGATCACACAGACCCTGAACTGGCTAGTGAGGACGTCGTCAGAAATAGAAACCAACATTGTGGCTGTTGAGAGAATAAATGAGTACATAAAAGTGGAAAATGAGGTAAGGAGGAATTAGAGGAATCCAGGGACAAGGTAAAAAGAGAGATGTGACTCCTTCTAGAGGGAAACTTGATCTCGACAAGAGATTTCACATAGGGATGTAAGGGTTTTCCTGAAGTCTCCAATGCTCTAGCTCAGGGTCTTAGAATTTACTAAGTTTAAGTGGTGGCTTCATTCTGGAGCTCCCAGAGCAACCTCATGGGATAGAGTTTCTTTAACTGAATAAGGTAGGAACCTTCTGGAAGTACCAGTCTAGTTTAGTCTACTCAGTGCAGATGCCCACATGTGGTAGGACACTACTGTCCTTTTCCTACTCTGTGACCTGGGTCCCCTAGGAACCCTTCAGTGAGTTGCCTTCAGCCCTTCAGTGTCATTTCTGCAGGCTACCCCAGGACTAAGCTATTCTCCTCCTGTCCCCTTGCAGGCACCCTGGGTGACTGATAAAAGGCCTCCAGCAGGTTGGCCCAGCAAAGGGGAGATCCAGTTTAGCGACTACCAAGTACGGTACCGGCCTGAGTTGGATCTGGTCCTGAAAGGGATCACTTGTAACATGAGGAGTGCAGAGAAGGTAGGTGGAGCAAAGAAAGGCCTGCATGCGAGTCCTGTGATCAGAGCACAGTTAGACACTGAAGTGGAGAGCAGCTGGACTCTGGGCTCTTATCGTTCTGGCAGGGGGAGAGAGTCAGGACACTCCCTCCGCCCTGGGGAGGTGCAGGGACAGCAGGACATTGACACGGAATCACACAGACTTTCTGGAGCCATGGGGGGCTTTCTGCTCAGCCCTTCTCTGCCTCCTTGCTGCATCCTCTTCTCCGGGGACTGACAGGCTCATTTCCTGAAAGGGCCACAGCATGTAGAGAGGAAGTCAGAAGCGGCCGTTCTGAGGAAGGAACTGGCGAGAACAGCAGTATGGAGGTTTTCCCTGAAGAAAGAGAATGGCCTGGTTCTCCTGGTCTGCAAAATCTGGCACCTGTCTATGGCGTTCTTGCTTCCCGAGACTTGAGGCCTGACACAGGACCAAACAATATATGGCTAAGGATGCGCAGGTCCACATCAGGGACTGATTCTTGATTGATGGCAGGCCTGCTCGATCCTTCCCTTCTCACTTTGAACTGATGATTTAAAAAAATAACAAAAAAACATACCTGTAATTTCTGATCATTATAACAACAGTTGTTGATGTGCCCATCTCCAAAAGTCACTGTAGTTCTCAGCAAGCAGCTATTCAGGATGCAAAGGCCATCTTTTTCTGACATCTGAACACTTTTTTCCCCATCAAAACCAAAATCAGTTTAACATCTCAGAGCTGAAGTACCCCATCACTGCCTCTTTCCACCTGTGACTGTGAATGCCCCAGGCTAAACTTTCTCTCCCGCAAAGAATTACATGGTGAACTAACAGGCAAAAGGACTGTATTTACAGATTGGTGTGGTGGGCAGGACAGGAGCTGGGAAGTCATCCCTGACAAATGGCCTCTTCAGAATCCTAGAGGCTGAAGGTGGCCAGATCACCATTGATGGGGTAGATATTGCTTCCATTGGGCTCCACGATCTCCGAGAGAAACTGACCATCATCCCCCAGGTGAGCTCTCGAACTTACTCTGCACAGCAGTGGGGTCAGATTGTTCTTTAGGAAACATATGCAACTTCTTCTTCATGTATATTCACTTAGCAGTGTCATTTCTGCAGCCTACCCAGGACACATAAGCTGGTTCCCTAGGATGAATTGTTTCTAGAACTTAGAAATATATGTTTTGCATTTTTTTGGTAATATGCTTATGTGATTGTGGGTGTCTAACCAGCAGGTGGCAGTAGCAAAACAGCAGTCAAATAGCACAGATGCTTATTTAGCATTTCTATAGCCCATCAAGATTCTGGAGACCTTTGTAATCAGCATTAGCCGAGTTTTGCTGCTGAAGCTCGAAACATTAAGCTTTATACTCCCATTTGATGTGGCTAAAAGGTAGGAGAGGGAATTTGCTGCAGGATTCTGCCAGCAAGAGGAACGCTTAGTGTGTCAGCAAGAAAGGCTTCCCTTGGGCTTCCTCTCGGGACCCTACCAGGAAGGATTGCCCTGAAGGCTTCTCCCTGCGGATCCTCTTTAGAACCATTCCTCCTTGGAGCGCTGTAGCCAGCTCTCTGGGGCGGGGTTGGCTGTTTGCTCAGTTTGATGCATGTTCTTCTCCAGCCTCCTCAAATGCATAAACATTCTTCTCCTGTGACTGTATTATTCCTTCCTCTGCCCACCCCTGATCCCTTCACCTCCACACCATGAGTCTTCATTTGGGAATGTGGGATATTCCTCTTCCCTTCTTGAGAGATGCTGAGGCAAATCTGGAAATCCACAAATTAAGGTCGGAATGAAAAACAAAAACAAACCAAGGACTCCTCCTAATCCTGTGCTTAGCTCCCTGGCTGGAGGCTGCTCCTCCCTGGCTGGAGGCTGCTCTGAAACCGGGGAACCTCGCGCACGCTTGACCACTAACCCGCTTTCCATCCCAGGCCAGTCCTACCTGCTTTCTCTTGGCCACAAAGAACTGGAGTCCCTCTCTGTCAGTCTCAATAGCCCCTTCATCCCTTGACTTGCAGGAGCCCATCCTGTTCTCTGGGAGCCTGAGGATGAACCTAGACCCTTTCAGCAGCTACTCAGATGAGGAGATCTGGAGGGCCCTGGAGCTGGCTCACCTCCAGTCCTTTGTGGCTGGCCTGCAGCTTGGGCTGTCTCATGAAGTGGCAGAGGCAGGTGACAACCTGAGGTAATGTTTCATGAACCACTTCTCCCATAGGCAGTGAGAGGAGGTGAGGGGGAGCCACCCCTTGGTTCTGTGTGCTCAGTGGTGCCTGAATTCTCTCACTCTCATGTGTAAAGTGAGCCCACTGTAAAGATGACATGATAAAACAGTTGCGAATGTGCACCGAAACCCTTGAGAAACTTTGTTAGTAAATGTACCCTCATGAGACATTACAGCATGTGAGCTTACAGATCCCAGTGTTGGGGAGGTTCTCCACTTAGCAGCTCACTGCAACAAGGATGCAGTCTCGACAACCAGTCCAACCCCATGAAGTCTGGCTCAGTTAGCAGGAGGTGTAGACTGGACATGGGGGGGGGGGTGTTCAAAGGATCCCCAGGGGGTTGCATGGGCATCCTGGCTGGAGCAGCACTGATTTAAAGGGCAAGTGGGTGATGGGGATGTGGCGTCTGCAGAGCCCTTGAGCACCTGAAACACCTCATTCAGGTCAGCACAGATTCACTCAGCTTCACCACTCTTTTGCTCTTTCTCATGCTTTTCTATATATATTGACACTTCAAACTTCCGGCCTTCACTATGTGTTCACCTGGCATTTTCCCTATGACAATTGGGTTTTTCCCTCCACATGAAGATTAGTCCTTGGCCAAACCGCTGCTTAGGGGTAGTTCTTGCTCCAGTCAGGTGCCTTCAGAGTGGTGGGCAGGGCATGGACCACTAACAGATAAAGCTCAGAACAGAAGGCAGGCTCAGGAGCTCAGTTCATGGTGCAGCTCTGGCTTGTTATAAATGCAGAATCTCAGGCTCTGGACCTAATCAGAATCTGCATTTTTAGCAAGATTTCTGTGCACATTACAGCTTGAGAAGCACTGCCTAGAGCACTAATTCTTCACTAGGCTGCCTGCTAGAATTACTCAGGAAACAAAAAAAATCTCACTGCCTGGGTTGCACCCCAGAGCACCTGTAAGCCTTTGTTAAGGACACTGTGATGCTCATTTTCCCTCGGCAGCAGATCTAGGAACTAGCAGGATTTAAGTAGTTCTACAGGCCTATGAAAAAATCCTACTCAAACATTCAGTTAACAAATATGTATTGAGGACCTACTATATGTCAAGCATGAGATAGGGGAAGATGGCACTGACACAACCCCAGCCTAGCACTGAGGGCAGAATGGAGAAGACAGATCCTGTGCAAGGAAATGCTGTGTGGTAAATGCTGCACCCATATGGGGTGATGTGGACCCCACTGGCAGAATGGGACGGGAGCCTTGGCACTTCTTGTTTGGAAGAACAAAATTCACACCATCCTTCTCTGTCCGTGTTGGGAAACACTTAAACGGCATAACCAGTGCCTTGATTTCAGACCTGTTTTGAAGGTGATGAAACAACTTTCACTAAGTGATCAGAGATCAGTAAGCTTGGAGACAGAGGCAGCAGCTAAAAGCCAAACTGAGCCTGTTCCTATGAAGCCCAAATGAACCAGGAAGGAACTTAGTACAATTGAAGTACCTAGTTTTGCAGTGTCTCTGTTCTTACATCACAGAGAGAAATGGGAAGTTCATCTTGGGTGAGGTCTCATCACCTACAGAATTTTTCTTACAGAAAATCACAGAACTTGTCTAACCACCCTGTTTAATATGCTCCCTAATGGCCACAGCAGGAAAGAACCATTAGCAGATTCCTAAATATATTTCCTTCACATCATTTCCCAAAGCTTTTTTTTATATAAGTAAGAGGTCCTGCCTTCATTACTGGCTTTTAGCAAATTAAAACAATTTGCATTTTAAAGTCATATTTGAATTCCACATACACTGCATCTCACACCAAGACATCATGCTCATTAGATAGCTATGTCTCTAATAAAGGCAGAGGGCCTTGAACAGATAATTAGCCTTGAGACTAGAATTACACATTAAAATAACGAATGGATTTGCTAAAGCCACTAAGAAATGCCCCTGGGGCATTCTGGTGCAATGTCACCCTACATTAATGGTGTCAGGTCAAATACTGCTGATGAACTTGGTGACATCTCATCTTGTTTTGGAATTGTTGATATACTGGGATATCACTGTACCCAAATGCCAAGAACTATTCCTGAGCTACTGTTTCCCAAACTTGTTAAACATGAAAATCACCAGGGGTGCTTATTAAAAATACATGTTCCTGGGCTCCTTCCCATTCTGATTGAGTAGGCTGGGGCCCCAAAATATGAATTTTTAATTAAGTACCTGTGGAGGGTCTTCTAATCACCTGAGAAAGTCTGGAAGACATTGCCCACAGCAACAACAAGCAGCCAGCGGAGAAGTGGAGGCATTCTGGGGCAGTTAGGAGGGGTTAGGAGTCTGTTCTGGCCCAGGATGAGGGCCCCACCCCCCTGCCCCGGTCATGCCCTGGTCCTCAGGGGCTGATGCTCGGTCTCTTCCACTGGCTGCAGCATAGGGCAGAGGCAGCTACTCTGCCTGGCCAGGGCTCTACTCCGGAAATCCAAGATTCTGATCATGGATGAGGCCACCGCTGCAGTGGATCTAGAGACGGATCGCCTCATCCAGATGACCATTCAAAACGAATTCTCCCACTGCACAACCATCACCATTGCCCACAGGCTGCACACCATCATGGACAGCGACAAGTGAGTGGGTTTGGACGGGGCGGGGCTTTGTCAATAGTAATGGCAAACAGCAGTGGTATCAGCTGTGAGATACTTTATAGTAGGTGTAATCACCATCATTTTACTGACCAAGAAACAGAGGCCAGGAAATTCAGATTTGCCCAAAATTAGACATCAACTTAATGAAAGCCAACAGGGCTAAAGGAATTGTCATGAGGGTAAAACTGGAAATTTATGTGAGTGGCAGATATTGACCACAGACCTTCCTGATCAAACTGGGTCTCAGCTGCGGCACCTGTACAATGACTAGATGCTTTCTGTTCCTTTCAACTCAGGGATATTGTCAGTAATCTTAGAGACTGGGGATGGTAGGCTCCCTTAAACAATGTTATTTTAAGAAAATCGTATGTAAGTGGACTCTTGGCTGCATGTATTCTTCCACTACTTGATTCCACTGTCTGATGCTCCGCATGGAAAGCTCCCAGGTTGTTGCAGACAGCCGTGGCTCATCTGGCTCCCTAGCTCTGCACACTGTGTGCATGAATAGACCACAGCTTAGTCCTGGTAAGTCTTATGAATGGCAAGATTTGAGATGCTGCTAAGACTTATTTCTCTCTTCCTTGTTTCAGAGTAATGGTTCTAGACAATGGGAAGATTGTAGAGTATGGCAGCCCTGAAGAACTGCTGAAAAACCCTGGCCCCTTTTATTATATGGCCAAAGAAGCTGGCATTGAAAGTGTGACCAGCACAACGTTCTGACAGCATATCCCAAGGACTAGAGAAGGACTATAAGGATCGTTCCTTATTTAATTTTTTTGTGAAATGTATCATACATATGGAAGTGTGTGTAAAATGTACATTTTAAAGGAGGATCTTATATGAACAACCATGAACCCACTACCCAGGTCAAGAAAATGATTATTGCCAGCTACATCAGACCCCGCCCCCACCAACGATCTCACTTTGATCAGACCTCCCTGCCACTCCCGCCCACCGAGATAACCACTACCCTGAATTTCGTGGTAATTATCCCCTTGCTTTTCAATTTTAGCACTTCGAATGTATCCTTAAACAATGTGTACCTTTTTTTAACTTATGTAAATGGCCTTATACTGCATGTATTCTTCTACGACTTTAAGTATTATTTTTGAGATTTGTCCATGTTGATGCACTCACTGAGGTTGGTTTGTTCTCACTGTTCTGTAGTGTGCAGTGTGTGAATTCACTACAGTCTAATGTTGGTCAGCACTAGGGATATTTCTAGGGTTTTATTTCCTTCCCATTATGAACAATACTGCTATAAACATTTTGGTACATAATGCCTGAGACACAAGTGTAAGAGTGTCTTAGCATATACTGTAGGAATGAGGATATGCATACATTTGTATACACTAGGTAATGCTACTGTAAAACATTTTTGTCAACCTGATCAGTATGAATTAGTTTATCATGGAGGTTTTAATTTGTATTTCCCTAGTCCTGTTGAGGTTTCAGTAGGAGGTTTCTTTGGGTTCTATTCACTGTTTTATTTCCTTGCATGTCTTCTGAATTTTTACTGTGAGCTGTGCACTTCCCTTAGCATTTTATCTGTGTACATTCTTTGAGGCCTGAGTTGAACTGAGTACTCCTGAATGGAATTGTGAAAGCTTCTGCCTGTCACCCGGGGTCATTACCCAGACCCATCCACTGAGGGCTTTTAAACCATACAGTTAGTGTGATGTCAGATCACAGTCCTCTGCAAGAGCCACTTGCGGTTTACACATTCTCAAGGGAGAGTCCTCCCCTTGACCTAGCATCAAGTCAGCGATAGACATGTTGCCTTGGCTAATTTTGAATAAGTACCTTTTGAAACACCCTCTGAAGAAATTTGTTCCGTTTAGGTAATAGGATGGGCATACATTTAATCACACATGCACACTGATCAAGACTTTAAAAATTAGCAAACAGTATTGTATAAACATTGATATTTAAATCTCTAAACTGCTGCAACTTAGACTTAGTTAACCAAGACCATATTCAACTATTAAGTGTGGGTCTACTCTTCCACAGAGACACAAAACTATTTCTTAAAAGGCTTCAGATTGCTTAAAGGTACTAAGCAAAAGATTATAAAAATACATAAAACAACTGGCTGTAAAAAATACTCTCTTCTCATAGTAATCCCCTTTACTTCATTTGCAAGTAATTGGTTATGCTATAGAAGTGACCTATTGCAGTGAAGAAAGCAACTACTTAGGAGAGAAGTAGAAAAAGAAGAAACAGGAGTACATGTAAGGCTGCATTTCTTTTGGATAAAATGGCCATAAAATAGCTTCAGGAAGAAAAGAAAAATTTGAGTAGTCTGGTTCTTACTAAATTAAAAAATGGACCATATAGAGCTCCTTTCTTCAACTCAAACAATCAAGCCTTGGTCACCACATTTGTTAACCTCTTGAATCATCACCTCGGTCCTGGCCATGATAGCCATCTGGCTGTTCTAACCATTGGCACTGAAGCCAGATCCACGTGCCCCTGGCTTCCACTGTGAATGATGGACTCTGGCAAAGCAGCAGTCTTTGGGACATTCATTTGCTATTTAAGCCCAGAGCAACTTGCTCCTCTCTGGAAAACAACTTTGTTGGTATCCATCTGTAGAGACTGTCGAGGTGTCCACTGGTGGTACGTCTAGGTACAGATGTCTCCCTTGCCACCTAGTGCTCATACCCTTGCCTGCTGGCTCTTTTGTTAGCACCCTTCTGCAGGTAAACTGTGACCTGGTGTGTCAGGGTTTGCATTTTGGCATCATAGACACCTCCCAGGCCCATGAATATATGTCTGGCAGATAAATTTATCAGTTCCAATTTCATAAACCAATCATACTTTGCCTAGCCTTCCATTTTTCCCCCAGCAAAAAGCCTAATTTTTTTGCATATTTGACTTCAATGCTAATGGTTGACTTTGAATCCTTTTGTTTTAGCTGCACCTCGAGAAGGGTATGGTTCATGGGCCAAATCTGGCCTGATGTTTTTATAGTTTTATTTGAACACAGCCATACTCACTTTTTTCTGTATTATCTATGCATGCTTTTGTGTTACAATGGCAGCTGAAGAGATGTGACAGACTATATGGCCTGTAAAGCATGAAATTCTTACTATCTGTCCTTTCACAGAAAAGGTTTGCTGACCCCTACTCCACAGTCACCAGTGTAGTCTGGACTAGATGTTTCCATCCTCAGAAATGAAATTCCATGTGGCTTTATACCTGTGGTAAATAGAATAAAGGTCCCCCATATTGCTCATGTATGTCATAATCCTCAAAACCCATGAAAATTTACCTTACATGGCAAAAGGGGCAAAAGGAGCAGATGTGATCAAGGAGACTGAGATGGGGAGATTATCCCAGTGCGCCCAGTGCGATCAAAAGGTCCTTGTAAGAGAGTCAGGAGAGTCATAGTGAGAGATGGAGATGATGTGGCAATGGAAAGAGACACAAGGATACTATGCTGCTGGCTTTGAAGATGGAAGAAGTGGCCACAAGCCGAAAATGCAGGCAGATTCTAGAAGCTGGAAAAGGAAACAGATTCTCCCCTGGAGTCTCCAGACGGAACCAGCCTCATTGACATCTTGACTTCTGCCCAGTGCGTGGGACTGATTTTGAAGTTCTGATCTCCAGAACTGTAAGATAATAGATTTTTGTTGTTTTAGACCACAAGTTTGTGGTAATTTATTACAGCAGCAATAGGAAACATACAATACTGTAAGTCCAAGTAACTCTGGAAAAGTGGCCAATATTCTCCGACTGTAGTTGGCTCAATGGCAGCTCACTGATCTTCACTGAATCCTGCTGTAGTTTGAATTTGAAGAGGATTCTGCCATCTGTTAAGCCCAGCTTAAAATCATGACACACATCTGGGTCATGGGACACACAGGTCCCTTGTGACATTGTCCTGCTGAGTCTGCAGACTCCAAGGTCTGCAGCACAGGACACACGCGCCTGTCTACCCCTGATAAATGTTTCCTGAACGAACACATTGCTGCTGCCCTAACCAGAGTGCTTGCTCTCTCCATACCACCAGAACCCACCTCTGGGAAGGCGCTCTTCTCCTTCAGCGTCACCTCCGAGTGGTGGTAAGGAATAGATAGCTCTGTGTAGTTTGCAAAGCCTGCAATGTGTTATGGAAAACTCCCTTCTTGATACATGCAAAATGCTACAATAGCTCAGTGGGCTGGGTGAGATAAAGCAGGGCCTCGGAGTACAGATTAGTATACCCACTCTGTGGCACTGTCTGCCCCACCTGGCAAATGAATGCCGGGAAACACTACATCAATGTGATGTACTGACAGGTGGGAGAGTGCACAGTCCTTTGAGTTGTATGTGGCATCCAGAGAGATTTAGAATAATAGTGTGTATACATCCTGAGGTTTCTTGGTTCTGCTAGTGAAGCAATTCACTGCACAACTGTGCTCTTCAAGGGCTTGTTTGTATTCCCCAGCCTAAAACAAACCCCATATAAACAGAGTCCCAGCTTCATAATTAATTAAAACAGGGTGACACAAAATTCAATCCTTATTAAAACCACAGACTTCCAGAGTTCACAGTGCACAAAAATTTGCAGATGATCTTCTTTGGTTCTCATAATTATCTTTTGAGAGGGAGGCCAGAAACCTACATATTGTAGGTGATGACAGATTCCCACCAGCACGCCATTCTCCCAGGACTCTTTGGCGTGACTGAAGAGCTGCTTCCAGACAGGAAAGGGAGAAATCCATGACAGGAAGCACGCAGGCAAACCAGATTTGGACATTTTAATAACATTTCCTTCTGTTCTGTCTTAAACATCTGACACCCTTTCCTTCCTTGATTTTTGTAACTCTTACTTTTCCAACTTTTTAAGAAGTTCCATTGAAAAGAAAAAAATTGCCTAGAAAGATGCTCCTCAAACTTTAAGGTGCACACCAATCACTTGAGCCAGGAGGCCTGGGGTGGGGAGCTCCCAGGTCGTAGTAAAGGTGAGGCTGCTGGTCTGAAGGCCACACTTGAAGGAGCATGGCCTAGCAGACATCCCATGTTTAAAACAAAACTTTGTTTCTTTTTGTTGTAAACTGCACCCATCCCCCATGATCTCCCTTTTGCCAGTGATTCCATTACTTCCTCATTTTCTTTATAAGATGCTCCTTTTTTCCATTCGTAAGAAACCTTATGCCCAAATCAGTTAACGTTTTCCCAATAATTACATTTCCTTGCCTTTGATCTGTCCTCCCAAATCATCCTGTTACCAGTTAGTTTTCCTAAAACAGACAATCCGCTTAAGAACCTAGTTTATTATCCCACTCAACAAATCTAAATTTCTTGACTCAGACCTCAGTCTACTGTTTACTACATGTCAGGCACTGTTCTAGTACTCTCCATGTACTGACTCATTCAACCCTTACAACAGCCCCATGAAGTGGGTAGTATTATCATCTCTGCTTAAATGAGGGAACTAAAGCCTGAGTTAGGTAAATTGTCAAGGTCACAAAGCTCTTGGGTGTCTGAGGCCAGAGTCTGGCTCCAGAACAAGGTGTTAAGACTCAGCTGTGGTGTCTGAGACCCACATTTAAATTCAGGATCCATCAAAAATTTGATCTATAACTTGGGTCAAGTCAAAAATGCCATTGGACTCCATTTTCCTAGTCCATAAAATAAAAGAGTTGGCTTAGCTGACCTGTAAGTTTCCTTCCTAGAGCCTGTTTGACATTTTTTATCACTTAACAGTATCAGGCAACTGCTTCACTGTCACAGTATCAGTGCCCCTTTCCCAGTGTCCAGCTACTCCCCTTCCCAGCCCCTGCCCCACCGAAGCCGCCACTCTAGGATCTTGTTAGTTAATCTCTAGTGTACCAGTTTCCACATCTGTAATATCAGATAAATATTTCTCTCTTAGGGATTCCAGCTTAGAGAATTCAGCTCTTCTGCTCTGCAGCTCACTGCAGCACAAATCCTTTTAATGATTTTAGTTATAAAATGGCTTAAAATAAAGCAATTGTCTACAGCACAAACATTTTTTTGAGTATTCAGTAATTCTGCTGAAATTGTATTTGACAAAATAAATTTTTGACTTGTCAGTTAGCTTCTCTATTTCCTGGAATCTGGGCGTCACTGAATTGTCAAGAAGGTACCTTCAGCAATCCAAGAAGGTTCAAGCTAAATGTGGAGAGAAATCAAGGAAACATACTCATGGTCCTTAGAAATGCTTTTATTTATAAAATAACTACTTAAATATAAACATCTCTCAATATAAACACTATTCACAAGGGACTCATATTGCTGCTGTCTGGCCAACCTGTGGACACGGGGGGACTGAGGCATACACAGGTATCTCCCAATTCATCAGGATTTTTAAGGCCGAAGGTGCACCTGGGGAAGCAGTGGCTTGTAAAGCTGTTCTTACTTCCTTTTCTCAGGACATAATTCTTGGTTCCCTGTTTCAAGGTAGGCTTCATATCTGGGGCAGCCCTGCTTGAAAAGAACTTTCAGGGGGGGAGATTGTTCAGGTAAGGATTAATAGGTATCTGCCTGAGGCCAGAGGGAGGTACAGCCAGGCACTTTAGAATCTGTCCAGCTTAGACTCTGGTCTCTAAGCATGGAGGTTAGTGGTGGAACAGAAAATGCTTCTTTCCAAGTCTAGGACAAGCTACTTCTGGGACTGCTTATCCTAATTCAAATAAGATACATATGTTATGGTTTCTGCATCTGTGGATGGTAGTGTGGTTGGATGGAGAAAGGAAAGACGTCTAGTTTTCCACCAGGTTGGACTGGTTTCAGCTCATTGCAGCACAATTCCTTTTAATGGAAGGCTGATGCTCTGATCCTGGGCTCCTAGGAAAATCTACCATTTATTGTGTTGCAGGAGAGAGAGCCAGGAGAGATTATCAGGCATAGATGGTGTAAAGTAGAGATGATGGTCAGAAAAGTGTAGATAACTGTACCTAAAAGGGAAGAGAACCTTTCAGATGAAGGTCAAAGGAATATAAAGACCCTAAATGCTCTTTAAAAAGAAAAGAAAGCGGTTGAATTTTGCATAACCAATCTGGGGAGATGCAGTAAATAAACAAGAAAAAGATTACAGATGGTAGTATTTTAGGAACTTTTAGAAATTGTGTGTGTGTGTGTCTGTCTGTCTGTCTGTGCTTGACATGAAGCTTTGAAACATGAGATTGGTACCATCTCAACAAACTCCTTGCCAAAGGCAGGGGCACAGCCTGAAAGGGCGCCCAGGTAATTCTCTTCATTCTCTTCATTCAGATCAGTTCCTGTTGATCATGGAACATGAGGCCACCCCAAACTCAGCACAGTACAACTATCGCAAACACCCTCTGCTGCTGTCGCACAGCTTCCAGCAGACATAGCATCCTGGTCTTCTGATTGGAAATTTCTCATTTCCAGACGCTGACCCTGAGACTTGCTGCTCTCCTCGTGGTCACTGAATCACAAGCCCGAGTCCATTTCCAGTTCTAGAAATTCTAGTGAGCATCAAGGCTGACAACCCAGTGGAGGAGAACAAGACTCATCTTGCGCCCTGTGGAGCCACGGTTAAGCAGTGCAGACAGGGCCTGTGTCCCTTGCAGAGGCCGGCAGAACCCTTCAGAAGGGAGGTGAAGGCGCAGGCTGAGTGGGAGGCAGAGCAGGCTCAGGTGTACTCAGATTTGCAGATATAACTGGATGGAACATAGCCCTTCTTCCCATTAACTTCCGCTAGCCACCACTCTGTATTTCCCATAACATCTTTAAACTCCAGGATTTTGAGTCTCTGGCTGGCTGACACACTCAGTTCATTTGGGTTCCGGGCATTGAAGGTATAGACAGCAAAATAGACCTGTGTGTGGGAAAGAACATGAGTTGGCAAACAAAAAAAATGCTTTGAGCAACACTGTCTAACAGAACTCCCTGTGGTGATGGGATGTTCTAAACCTGCACCATCCAATACAGTGGCCCCCAGACACATGGCGCTAAGGAGCACTTGAATTATGGCTAGTGAGATGGGAGCACTTAGTTTTTAATTTTACTTCATTTTAACTAAGCTCAATTTAAACAGGTACACAGGGCTGGTGGCTACCATAATGCACAGGGCAGATTCTAAGAACACCAGATTCACTCCTTTTCACTCATTCAGAGTGAAGCGAACAAGGAACCTTCAGTTAATATGGAAGCCGGATGAGACATGGGGATGCCCTTCCATAAGCCAAACACAGAATTTCTGAATTTAACACACAACTAACCTCAAAGCAAAAGAGAATGACCTCAGGGTGCCAATAACAAAGATACAATAGCAAGGGCAGTGCCCAGTGACCAGGAGGCAGCTCCCTGCGGCCCATGAAGACACCCTGAGGGCTGGGATGCAGGGCCTGGTCAGGGATGGGTAGGGGGATGGGCGATGAGGCTAGAACCGAGCTCAGAAGCTGGAATGGGCCGTTTTCCCCCTCATGTCTAGAATGGTCCACAGATCTGGGCAGTGGGTAGTGACAGAATCACCAGAGAGAAATAGGCATGCACGGTGCTCATCTGTGGCACTGAGGAATGTGGTGGGGAAAGTCTGAGCTGAGAATCTGGTGCGAAAACTTGTCTTTGGGAACCCAGAGCTCGGCAGAGAACAACAACCCAGGACATGACTGAGTCTCTCAGAAAGGCAACCCCGGCGGGACAAGGTCACAGACAGACATTATGAGACACACAGAAACCCACTGCTGCAAGAGCAAGCAAAGGCAGCACGGGGAGATCCCCAGATTCCTCAGCTGTAAATTTGTAGGTGCCTTTAAAATATGTAGGTTAAAATGTCCAAGATGCAAAGCCTATATTCAAGTTCATAAGACAATAACAAGCCATTACATAAAGAATGCGAATAACTGAAAAAGAGTCAGAATTTTATTTCTCACTTCTCAGGAAAAAATACAGCTATTTGAATAAAAAACTAAGTTAGATGAGTTACAGCAGACTACACAACTGAAGAATTACGGATTGGAAGAGTAGAAAAGCTTTTCATTGTAACACCTCATAAAAGCCCAGTGACACAGCGGAGGGGGCCCAGAAAGAGCCCGAGAAGGGTCAGCCGCAGGACCGGAGGGTGTGGCGTGGTGTGGCGTGGCGTGGCGTGCCCTTAGAGCAGGGAGGTTCTTACTGCTTTCTAAGGTCCGTCACTGAGCTCATCTCCAGGTCACTCCCCAGGCCCGCCTCTGACTCCCGCTCCCTCTAAGGGCACTGTCTGCTCCTTCAACGCCACCTGCTCCCCCCGGTGACGGGGCAGCACTCACCTGGTTGCCTTCTGCCTCACTGCTTTCTGGCTCCTCATTCTTATCTTCCAGAGATGGGGCTGTTCTTGCACACCCTTTTATGAGATCTTTACCCTGCCCATCTCGCCCTAGTACAGAGTAGCCAGCCGTTTCGGGATGCCTGGGGTTTCGGCAACTCCTCAGGCTTGGGGCGGGCTGGTTAGTGTCTCTGGCTGCATCTGAAGAGCCCCAAAGCCTGGGCTGGGAGGGGGAGTCTGGGTCTGAAGGGCATCTGGAAGGACAGCTCTCTGCACTACCCAAGTTTAAGGATGCACTGAGACTTCCTTGGTCAGGCTCCTTCAAGGAAGATGCATCTTGAGGCTGTTTCTGGGAAGACCCTGAGGTAAAGGACACAGCCATGCTGCTGGGGTTGACTGTCAAGGTGCTGCTGATGCTCTGCCGTGGGAACCGGGGAGAGGAGCTGCTCTGCTCTGACTCGGTGGAGGAGTGGCTGCCGACGGAGACATCAGAGTGGCTGCGACGAGCATTGTAGGGCTTCAGGAAGGAGCTGTACACAAAGCCTTTGGTGACTACATGAAGGAAAATCAAACACCAAGAGCTTTTAGCGGAAGGAGAAGGGGAGTTAAGAGGTAAAACTATAGCTTGAATGCTAGGGCAATAGTGAGAGACACAAAATAAGATGTCCAGGGCTAAGACAGATGAGACAGTCAATCCCAGGATATATGTGGGTAGGCAGAGTTGAAACTCGGTGGCTACCTGCCAGTTCCTCTTGTTACCACCTCATAAAGATGAGTGATAAGGAGGCCTGTGGGAAATCAAGAGGACAGGACAGAAACGACCACACGTCTGGGAATGAGCCTATGAAGAAGACTGAACAGGGCATCTAGATCATGGGAACAAATGCTAAGGGGAGACTTAACTAAGGAGGTGTCCAAACACACTGAGTGTGGTCAAACGGAATTTTAGAACGCATCCTGATGGTGCCAGAGCCCCTCACCTCTGGCTCCCTGCCTTTCTCCACCTATAACACATGAAGGTCTGCCCCTGGTCTGTGAATGCCACGGAAAGACTGTGAGAATGGCTGAGAGTAGGAAGTGGTTTATATTAGTCAGAATATACATATCACATATGCACAGCACACGCTCACTTTAATAAATTGCTTAAGATGATAATAGAAGAATTCTCACCTATAACTTTTAAATATAAATGAGAGATTGAGACCCCTAATCCACAGGAAAACTTTTTATATATTAAGGAAGAATATCTGTCATGGGTGGGACCCAGAGAATGTGGCCTCCACAGGAGCCAGGGCTACCGCTGTCTGGAACAGGAAATCATTAGTTTCCTGTTAAAAAACTGCTGGCACATGTCTGTTACATCTGCTGAATGTGACAGTAGATTGGGGTGGGGGTGGGGGGCATCCTCTGGGCAGATGATGAGAGGCAGAAGGTCTAACAGCTGATCCTAATACTGTGGGCATCTTGCTATACAATTTATCAGGATCAAGCAGATAAAAACCCTAAGATGGTGCCGCTTCTGGAACAGCTTGGATCTTCACTAGCTCTTCTATGACTCCATCAGTGGCTCTCTCCTGCCCATCCCAAACGATCTTCCAGCCTTTGTCCTTCCCTTCCCACTTCCAATCTCTATTATTTTGGGTAAGCAGGGGTAGAAGAGGGAGGAAAAAAATCCACAACATAATTTTAAAAGAAACTAAGAAATGTTACAATTTTTAGTTCTGGGCAGTGTGATACAGTATTTATTATATTGGCCCATATTCCTTATAAAAAATGCTTAGGGCCAGATGTCTTTTGAATTCAGGTTTTTTTGGATTTGGCAAAGGTCATCAGGTATATAACACTATGTGTTTCATAACACCTCCAGCAGGGTATGAGTCAACACCCCACAGTCAGACCCATTCAGGGTTAAGTAACAATTATAAATAGACTCATATCACTTTGTTTAGCTATGTGCCACCAAATGCATTCAGATCAGGGCCGGTTTTGGCAAAGGAGTTCTGGGGAAAAACACAAAACAAAACATAAACTTTGTTTTTCAGAGCTTTTCAGATTTTGGAATTGTGGATAAAGCATTACAGATCAGTATTCTTTGTACTTTTCTTTAAATTCTATAACCAACCCCAACCCTGCCAGAAAAAAAGCTGTGAGCTGTTTTAAAAGTTATTCTCCAAAGAGTCATGAAAACTGTTTCACGACAGAAAACTATTTACTCTGGGAGGAAAATTCAAACAGCAAACAAAAAAATCCTTTCTTACAGGTTTTAAATTCACACACAACAAAACATATTTACAGAACCTGGAAAAGGGCAGCTTCTCTGGTGGTTTACTGAGACCAGGCTGGGAGGGCACAAGACCCACTGGGCAGGAGTTACTTGCCCGTACATGGGATGATCTGGCAAGGTAAGTAAAGGAGGCTCCTCTGGAATTTATAAAAACAAAAACAAAAACAAAGACAGGTTTTGTTTCAGTAATGACTTGAGCCTTGTACTCTCTACAGGTTATTTTTCCCTTTAATCAAAGGTTCATGCATTTTTTTTTCCTGGCCTAGATAGGATTCAGGTATAGCCTAGTCACTTTTTCCTCAGTTAGAGTCACAGTAACCTGATGGCTAACATTCTTACCTCCGTTGTCAATCAGCCAGCGGCTCTGACTGCCCATGGGGTCCTTTTTCTTGATCACACCCACCAGGTCACCTTCCAGAAGTGACACATCCAAGTCTTGAGCAGCATTGAAGTTCCGATCTGCTTGAAAGAGTTTTTCAGGGGGATACCTTGCCAGGAGGGAGGCCCGGAGTTCTTCAGACTGCAGCATATAACTTGGCTGAAAGGCAACACAAGAAACACTATCAGCAAAAACGCTCTCCGGCCATTTTCCCAGCAGCCTTATCGAATCCAGCCACACGGTCAGAATCCCAGATAACATTAAATGGCAATGCGGCCATTGTTTTCATGCCTGAGTGAGTCCACGGGGCTGGGCAAAAAGCGACATCTCTGAGGTCATGTTGTGGTGCTTTGGCAGCTATTAAGAAAATTTAACACATGTTTAGTTTTATATCGGTTATCTTGTGACAAAAAAATGTTACTAAACGGCTAACTAAAGCATCAAAGTATCTTCAGTAATATCACCAGGTCCTCTTACATTATGGCAGGTGAACCTGAACAACTGAGATATCCCTTATTCTTGCCTTCCCATCCGTAGAACAAATAATACTCATAAAAATAAGAAAAAGTAACATGATAAATTTGCTTCCCTGCTTGAAGATAATGTAAGTTAATGTCTGTGGGATTATATGGGGCAAAAACGTTGTAAGCAAAGACAAATCAGCAGTCTCTTAGATTTATACCCCCTAGAATCTGGTGTAGCTCACCCTACTTTTCAAAATATGGAAGAATTGAGTTCAAAAAGAATATAACTCCAGGTAAAAAAGCAGTCAGCCATTTACTGTTTGGTAGTACATCAGATAATTAACTTTCTCAAGATAAGATAAAAAAGAGGGAGGCCTGGCAGAATTAACTTACCTTTAAATCAGCTCCCGTAATTAACTGATCAAAGTATTAATATTAGTCGTTTACTAACTCCTTTCACTGTATAGACTAAGAAACAAGAATGCTTTCTGAGGGCATTTTGCAGTAATACCCAGTGTGAGAATTACCGGGGGTCACTATCAATAGTAGTAGGCACATGGGTGATGCCTGGTAACACTGCATGAATGAACAAGTGAGCCACGACAGACGAGAAGTCATAGCCTTTATTCTCCACTTACCACAAAATACTTAAATTCCTATGATGTGGTGAATCTGCAGAGACAGAACTACTTCCATCAATATTAATAATAGTGATAACTTATTTGTATGGTGCTTTCTATATGTGAGGCAATTTCTAAGTGCTTTACATACATTAACTCCTCTAACCTCATGACCTCTGTGATGTAGGTTTAATTACTACCTGCGTCTCACAGACAGGGAAACCAAGGAACAGAGGGTAAGCGACTTGCTCAAGGACACACAGTAAGTGTCAGCACCGGGATCTGACCCAGGCAGTCAGCTCCAGAGGTCACACCCTCAGCCACCAGTTCTCTACTCACCAGGCCCAGGAGGGGCTTTCGGGCAGACTGGTGGTCCATGGATCTCCTCTCGAATGGTTTCTTGGCAGCTGGAAGAGGCTCTGGGAAGAAGGTGAAAAGCTGGAGCTGCTGCAGAACCCTGCTGTGCTCTTCGTGGAAGACAGCAATAAGGTTTCCCTCTCTGCCAGTGACTTTCAGTAACTGGAGTCCACGGGAAGAGCAGAGAGAGCGGAAAGAAGAGAACACAGATCAAAGACCCCAGAACTAATGGTCTCGTTAAAACCAGCTGGAAGCTGACGTTCAGCTGCAGCTCCCTCTGTGTAGGTGAGCCACACTGCAGCCGGCGAGGGCTGGCTCTTCCAGGGACGGCGCAGGGTGCAGGGAGAGCTATTGAAAAGCCACAGGTTTCAGGGCACCATTTAGAGATCAAGAATTCCCATTCCTGACAGGCTTGATCTAATGACATATTTAATCTGCCTAATCCAAATAATTTCTCAAACACCCTGTGTGCATTCCCGGGAAAACCCCAGAACTTCAGAGACGACTTCTCCCCAGGAGAGCAGGGGACTCACTGAGAGCAGGGGCTTCAGCTGCTCCAGAGCCTGGCGCACGAAGTCGCAGTGGGCCTCGGCATAGCCGTGGACGCAGTTGGTGAAGAGGCCCTGGGCATACTGGTGGAACTTGGGCAGCTCGTCCAGCAGCTGGGCGTTCAGGGCCTCATAGTTGTTCCGGGCCGACTGCAGCTCCTCCAGAGTCCTCTTATCCTTCAACTTCTCAGCCCGCTCTGTGCACTTGTAGAAGTCCAGGAGCTTGTCAAAGCGTTTCTGGACCAGCTTGTGGGGCCCTGTAAACATGCTCAGTAACTGATTCAGGGGAGAGATGACGAGCCGCTGTGTCCTCTCCTTCTGTAGGGACGAGAAGGGCACACTGCTCAGCTGGTTAGGACCCTGTATTTGTTGTTCTCCAGAACACCCTACAGGCTGACTTTGCTACATGTCCTGTACCAGCTGCTTTGCTCCCAGCACATAAACTAAACCCACGCAGACCCAATAGCATTCTACTTACCCAACCCCAGATGGACTTACATTTTCTATGAAGTGTCTCAATTTGTAACTCTGCACCTAACAACTGGCACACACACCAAGAGTTTACCAAACACATTAATCCCACCTCAGCCACAGGTGATAACATTAAATGACACGCATGAATGTTCGCATTACAAACCAGATGTGACGGTCTATCTGATATCACTTATGTGTGTGTCTAGACAACTTGAATTTAACTTAAGATTTAGTTGTTACATAAACCTGAGGCAGAGAAACTTTCACATTCCCTTAACGCTAATAATAACTGCTTTCACTTTTCAAAGGATTTTTCTTTAATTCTTTCAAGAGGGACAGACATTGAGGGCAGGGTATTGACCTCATGAAGAACATAAACAGGCTTTTACTAAATTACTTCTAACAACATGTTACTATAGGAACACTAAGAGCTCCTCAAGTACACATGAATTCTTTAGCCTCAAGCCTCCCAGAGATCTCCAAGAAATGAGCAAACCCCACCCACTACTTCCTACTTGAGACCAACAATCCTGTATTTATTCATTCAGAATTTCCCAAGCAATTTGGCCTCAGTTCTTTTGCTATAGTTTGTGCCATCTCAAAGATCTGTTTGTCAGCCTCTTAACTATTCCCAAATATTTCTTTTCAAATTATTACTCTATAGTCATTTTCTTTTGCTCAGAGTTATCCACAGCAATGCCAGATTAAAGTTTTCAGTTTTCCTTTGTTCCCTGAAACTAGGCTGATACAAGCTATAAAAAAGCCATTCAAATACATACAGGTCCTACCCGTCCTTTAACTAATTCAAAGTCATGTTCTGAATATACAACCTTGATATGAACACAGTGTGTCTTTGTGGAATTAACTTCCCGTGACCTGGATGTGAGACAGCGGGCTGGGAAGAGGGCCGGCCTATGAAAGGCAGGTCGAAGACAGTCACTTACAAAACTACTGAAGAGCTGGTCACTGATGTAGCGATGCACCTTCTCGAATTGCTCCAGGTCTCTGTGTCCCTTCTCCATGCACACATCCCACATGCTCATGGCAGCCACCACTTTCACACATGCTGATTCCTGGAGCCAGTTAGAAACACAGTAAGATCACACAGAACTTCCTAGCTTTCATCATTCATCCCAGATAGACAGTCTGGGACAAAAGGATTCCACAATTTAACATTTTCTCTCTGGTGTAGTACTTTAGCTTTGAAGTAAGCATGCTCTTGTAAAGTATGATTGACAGGGCACAGAGAAAAGTCTAAGACTTTTAACTATACAAAATTTGGTGGGGGCTTTTTCTTTTCTTCAAAATGACCCCTCTTTGTCTGTAGTAATACTTTTTGCCTAAAGTCTATTTTGCTTACAATTAAGATAGCTAAACCCAGAACATCCTTTCAGTGAGGGCTTTTATCAGCTCTTCAGCATTTCCCTGTGTCACTCATTTGAGGGTTTCTTAATTTATCAAGAAGTAAATTATCAAATTAGAGCCAAGAGGATTCCCACAGGATGACGACAATGAACGACCACCTTTCCTTCTTCGGGTCTGAGCTCACGCCATCACCTTCTCAAAGACAGCTGCCCACCACCCACGCACGATTACAGCCCCACCTTCTGCACTCGGACCCAGCCGCCCCTCGCTGCTCTCGCTCTGTGCTTTCCTGGCTGCCTGCAAAAATACCTCCTGGCAGACAATGTAATTTACTTTGTTTATTGTCTATCTCCATCTCCCACACCCCTAATGAAATTTAAGCTCCATGAAGGCAGCAGTTTTTTACTCAATTTTGACTCAATTCTCATTTGTGGAATTAATGAATAAGTGAATGCACAGTAAACTCCTGACTGACCCTGACAGTTTTTAAACCCCAGGCTGGTTTTCTTTGGCTATTTGGAAAAATGCTGGATTTTTGCCTTCATTAGTTTTACTTAGGGGATGCCTATTATTTTGATATTAACTCAAATAAAATCTAAATTTTGATTAATACAGTCCGAGAGTAAATGAAGTCCCTGAGCAAAAAAAAAAATGCGTGTCTCAAAGACCAGTGTGCTATTTTATTTTATATTCGTAGACCTCTTATCTTTAAGTCCTCTATCTGCACATATAGATACAGCCAGTATTTTGTTAGAAGGATAAACAGAGTAATCTGTCTAATTCCTCCCAAGTGGGAGAACTAACATAAAAGACGGTGTCCTCTTACATTCTTTGGAAGAGAAGTTGTGAAGTCCTAATGTATCAGTACACATGCCAATGTAGATACCAAATTATACAGTCAGTGTCCCTCTGCTTACTTCTTGCTAGTTCTCTCTCTACAGCTGATCCATCTAACTTTATTTCTCGGGGCTTTTCATTTTGACAGGTCATGAAACTGTTCAGTATTTCCCCCTCAATTTCTATGGTTAATAGCCAGAACCAAATTGACCTGCCCATCAAATGGTTGCTGGATAAGTCAGGAGTTTACTATGCATTCGCTTATTTATTCTGCAAGTGGTAACGAGTCAGCCATCAAAAAACACAAAACTCCCTGTCTTCATGGAGCTACATTTTATGAGGGGTCTCAGGGAGGAGACAGAGACAACAGACAAACGTTAGTAAATTACACTGTTAGAAGGTGTCTTTGCAGTGGCATAATGGCCATCTGAGCCCAGATTATTGAACATTCATTCAACAATATGCTGGGTAAGTGGGAAAGCAGAGAATTCGTAATATGTGGTTCTAACTAGAGCAATGTTTTTACCCACCCGGATATGCTGGAGGTAGAGAGACAGGTCTCGGATAAAAGATTTGATCAATCTTTCTTGCATTCGGAAGTTCTTTTCTGTTTCTTCAAATGCTTCATCTTTTATCTGTTCAAAATAAACAAGTGCTGTTACCAGATTTGCACTCTCCCCAGATCTACTTTACTGGCAAAGGTATCTTTCTTAAAAACATCTTTTGCTTACATTTTAAAACCTTGATGTTTCTCTGAATCACACTGAGTTGAATTTAAACACATCTATGTCATTTTGGAAGACATCAATGTGCAATGCCTGCCTCCACGCCTCACCTCCTCAGCTCCAGTGGAAATCTTCCCTCGGCCCACCTGCTCTCTTCACCATTCCGGATGCCATTTGCCTTTGTAACAAGCTGGTGCCTTTGCCTGTGTGGTCACCACGCTTGTACATCCTCCCCTCTCTCTGTGCCAAACCTGCTCCCTTCCCTTAAGGCTCAAACTAAACCTCTTGGCAACTCCCACTTACTCACAGTGGGATGCTTACTCCCACTGAAGTCTTGTTTTCTTAAGTACTGTGGTGTGTAGAGAACAAACTGCAAAACTTAGCAACTGATTATTTTCTAGCTGGAATTTTCCATAATTGTATCATATATACAGTACAGAAGGAAGTCTAGGACTTCAGATGTACTCTCAGCACTGTCAATAAACTGCTTTTTCCAAGCTATTTCTTGGACATCACATTTTTTATTTGTGACACAGGGTGTAGAGCTATGGTGATCTCTTCAATCCCTTTTAGCGTAGTATGTCTATAAGTTTAATTTTGTCTCCCCAAATAGATTATAAGCTCCTTGTAGGTGTTTAAAAACCCAATTACTATTATTTAGTGACTGATTTGGCTTCTTGATTTGCTTTTGCACACACTGTGAGCAGCTCACCAAGGCACAGGCAGAGGGTCCACACCACAGTACTGAAGGAAACAGGAGTTTCAGCTACATGCTGGCAAAAAGGGTTCGGTCTGAGCCTCAGGGAAGGGGCCTATTTGGCACAGGACTGGGTCCTGTACCTGCCAGCCAGCAAACAAGAGGCGGTACTAAGAGGGGAACCTTGCCAGCGACACCAAGCAGGCTGCCCTAGGGAGCCCCAAAAGGCTGTCAGTGTACCGCCCCTTCAAGGGCAGGAACCTCACCTGTGGAGCAAAGCCGGTGAGGTGCTTCAGGTGGCTGCTGACGCGATTGGATTTCTTGATGATGGAGTGGATGTTCAGCTTGGAGATCTTCTCCATCAGGCTGTCTTCATCGCCCTTTCGGTACTTGAGGACTAGGGAGTGAGTCAATCGGTGAGTCATGAGAGCCCTTTCCTGGGCATGGACAGACTACAGAACAAGCCACAGAAGGAGACTAAACTGCCCAAGCAAGAGCTGGTGCTTGGCTTCAACAAGCTTGTAACTGAGTAAAGACAAAATATTAAGCCAGTCATCATTTATGGACACACAGCCCCCCAAAGAAAACCAGAGAGACTGTGCAGAGGGTTAGAGGCATGGAGGAAAGTTGGCAGAGCTGTAGGGAGAAGAGCCTAGGATGCGGAGTCGGGAAACTTGAGTTCAATACCATGGCCCATGATTTCATCAAGGTGTGGCCGTAAGTCACCTAATTTCTCTGAGCCTCATTTTTCTCTAGAAAAGAACAATACCTGCCTTAGAAGACCACCTGAAATGGCCTCACATACAAATGAGATATTAATATCCACTCATCTCCGAGGTAAAATACAATTCAGGAGTTAATGTGATTAACTGCTGTGTTATACACCGGGCGTAACCTGCTGAGAAGTCTGGAGATAATAGCAGAAGGGTTGCAAGGGGAAGACTGTGTGGCAGCAACAAGGTACACTTTCTGGTTGTAGGAGATGACATCACAGTAGGAGATGAGAAACTAGACAAAGGTAGATGGGCAGAAAATTTTTATAGCACAGGTAACATGGGCTGACAGTGGAGAGACACCGATGCCATGCAGAAGGCAGAGAAAAACAGTTTTAGATAAAGTGGGGAGAAGAGTGGAGCGACAAAGAGGTTACACTGCATTATAGATTCTTTGAGGACAGGGATAATAAATCAATTAAGGATGTCACCAAGCTGTACACATTGAGTGTTCAAATTACAACCTCAACAAGAGAGCTGAGGAAAGTGAAAATAAACAGTCTGGTTTGTTCTACAATAAAAAGGAAGAGTGGGTAGTTTGGCAACTGACTGAATAGTTGGGAAGATCTCGGACCAGGGACAGTCCTGGAGAGGCAGGACTGATGGGACCCAGAGCCGTGGGCAAACTAGGGTTTTCTGAAAGACAAGAGATCCTAATGTCGGTGACTGCAGCGAAGTACCCAGCAAGACACAGAGGAAAGCGAATCCAGGCCTGGGTTGAGAAGGGCCGCCTTCCTGGAGCTGAGAGGGCAGCCACCCATGACTGAAGGGACTCCTGTCCAGCCATTCTCCAACCAGGCTTCGTATCTCTTGGGAAAGATCCCACTGCTCCAAGCTTCCCCTCACAGGCCCGATTCCCACTCCTATAGTTACTGCCGCTTTTCTAGCTCATACCGTGTTCCCCCAGTTCTGCTGTTCCTTCACCCAGCCCTATCGCCCACCACCTGCCCTGTCCACCTCTGGAGGGAGAGCATGCTCAAGGGCACATCTCTTTTCCAGCAAGCCTGCTTTCCTTACCCAGGTCCTTGCGACGCTTATATTCATTAATGTTCACATTGATTTCCTTGACTGCCAGAACGGCACTGGTTAAAGGCACTTTATCCGGGTGGGAATCTGGGGTGGAATTCAGCAATTCCATCAGCAGCAGTGGGTAACGCATTACCCTCTGCACTGGTTTGATGAGGAAGGAGCCCAGGTTAATATAATTTGTGCATCCCCTATAAAAGAAGGACAAACAAACTTTAGTCAATTGTCAACAACACAGGGCCTAAAGGTAGGATTTGTTATTCTTAAATATAGCTCTCTTCTTCCACCCTCCTTTCCAATTTTATTCATTCAACAAACAGTTACTGGGCATCCCATAAATACCAAGAACTGTTCTAAATCCCCTAGGTTCTGGGGATTTAGTAGTGGCCTGCCTTCGTGGAAGGAGAGGCAATAAACAAATATTACATGAAGTATCATCTGGTGGTGTATGCTATGGGAAAAATACAAGGGAGGTCTATTTCTAGGTTTCTGTTCATGAAGGAAGTAAAGAAATGAGCTTAGGCCAGGGTACTTACCACTCCTTGTACAGGCTCCTACAGGGCAGGGAGCGTGGGAAAAACAGACAGCTGATTAGAGGAAATGCTGACGCTGACCTCACATTCTCAGAGCATGTATTAGCTCAACTAATGCCCCTTAGGTGGGAAGACAAAATCACATGGGATAAAAGGGAAATTATGAATGTCTACATTCTAGTCCATTAAAGAAAGTAAGTTCCTAACTTCACTTGGATCTACTTACACATATAACTTTATAAACTGCCTCCCTAAGACCAGGAGGATCCCACAAGATGGTCTGATTTTGGTCTTTTTATTTATGCTCATGTTTATTTGGACCAAACTTGCTCCCTGGCTGCTTCTACCTGAAAATGCTAATTTCATACTTTGTATCTATAGATAAAAACACAAACCGGAAGCTACTTGAGATTTTCAAGATAATAATGAGAAAAGGGAGAGTTACACAACAGGACTTATAACATATCATTTGTGTTTAAAATAAGATAGATGTCCTAGGAAGTCTAAACATTACAGGTGGGGGTGACTTCTAAAAGGCAGAACTAAAGTGCCAAGATGGAAGCAAGGCGATTAAAACTCTTACTTAAGATCCGCCAAGGAGTCCTGAAGATGCTTCTGGATCTTCTCATCCTTTGTATAGATTTCCAGCAGTGCAATGGCCTCATCGTGGTTCTGGCAGTAACCCTTGTATGTTCCCTCAAGCTCATCCCGGTGATCAAGAAACACAGGTCCTTTGGAATATACACAAACACAGTGATTAGTAACTTTCTTCTCAGGATCCTAAATGTCCTAAAGGTGTGTGTATATATATATATATATCCTAAAATATCCTAAAGGTATATAAGCAAACTTTAGTATCAGTTAAACCCTATCACAGGAAATGATAATAAGACTATCAAATTAATAAGAAAGTTCCATGTAACAGCTTCAAATGGTACTTATTTGAAAGAACCACGTCGTCCACTTATTCACTTTACAGTGCACGCGTACACACACACACACACATACACACACACACACATACACACACACACAGTCTCTGAAACAGCCTGCACTCCCTTTCTGTCAGGTAGACAGGGAACGTGCAAGGACTCCCCTTATAGATGTGTGATCAGAACCTGTAAGGACCCCTCACTGGCTAAGCCCCTGGAAAGTCATCACAGGGGTGAAGAGCCTTTTCTATAGCAGCAGTTTCCAACATTTTCTTTGTGCATAAATTAAATACATAGGACTATAAATGAAATTTACTATACTTAAATTCCTATAATATAAAAAACACAAATCTGTGATATAATATATGTACTTCTTTGGAAGGCATTAAAAAGCAAAATGTAACAATGAATCTAAATCACCACAATTTCCAAGTATGATAAGGTGACATAAGAAATTGATAACATTGGTTGCTTCTGGTTGAATGTTACTGGAATTTCAATACATCTGCAATAACCTAATGTGAGAGGAGCATGTTGTTGGTCCCCTATATTCATATCTAAATAAATGCTAAATTATAGTTAGAAGTTAGTGAAAATAAATTCCTATTCAAGCTCACGGACTTCTTGAAATCTATCCATAGACCCCTGGTCTACATTCAGCCAGTTAGGCACAGGAACAGGTTCTGAACAAACTTCTACAATTTCACTTAGAGCCACTGCCTCAATGGGCCGATTCCCTGACGTTAAAACTGCTCCTCCTCCTGCTCTCCTTTCCTTCCCTCTTCAGCTGTACCGCTCTGCTCACAAAATACGATCCCACTGCCTGCTTTTGCTGTCACTACTACCAGCTGCTCTGGGCATGAACCCCTCCTCCATGGAACCCCAGACCTTTCTCTGCAATGTAGTCTCCTGCTCCCTCTACATTTTGGCCTACGGAACTCTCATCTTGCACAGATCCATTTCTATTTAAATTAAATAAATTTCCTTAATTACAGCTCCTGCCTGTAAGAGAAACTTGATTTTTTTTTTCATACACATCATACTCCTGTGGCGTCTCACAGACCGCCTCCCTTTTGTCTATTCCTGAATCTTGGAAGGCACAGCAGTGCAAGTGGGGCTGGGGCTGGGGCTGGGGCTGGGGCTGGCTTTCTTCTTGACCTTCGCGGCCACTTTGGAATCCCTGAGCCACCAACGTCTTCGTCTTCACCTGGCATCACCATCCACTACTTGCAAGCCTTCTCTCACATCATGCCCTCATATCTCACTTCCCGCCTGACTGCTGGAGCCTTCACACCACACGGACGGTTACGCTCACCCCTCCATGCCTAGGCTTTCAACCTCCCTGCTAGAGACTATTCAGCATCAACAACAAACTAGCAAAGCTACACCTTAATTTCCAGAGTGTTTCAAACTATGGGTCACAACCTACATATGCACCATAGACTCTACTTCAAGGGTCATTATCAGTCCTTCTTTTGAAGAAATAAAATGGAATAGAAAAGAAGTACCATAAAACACTAGCCACAGCAAAAGCAAGCACAGACATATACCCAAACATGAAGCCTGGGTCATTACATAAAATATATTGTTTTGTTTAAAATAAAAATTGAGTCAGTCCCTTCTATAGTACTACATACTCAAGTCTCCTGGCAGTTCTGCCCAGCTCAACCTCCTTACCTTCCACCCTGAGCACCTACTGTCCTTCCCTCCTGTCCCGGCTGTACTAGAATCCTCCTCCAGTCAGCATGAGACAATTCAGTGCTGCTTTCTCCAGCACCCTGGATTATCTTGACTTTTTGCTGAGTTATCCCCCTCACTGTATACTTTTTACATGTCTAGCCCTGGGTCCTAGGAAATGCTTGGAAGGTACATGGGTCGGGGGTGAGGGAGGCTTAGGGTAGAACAGTTCAAATAATTCTCTACCATTTGTATGATTTTAAAAAATGGGGATGAGGAACCAGGGTAGAGAACATGCATATGTAACTGCTGGTGTGCGATGAACTACTGCTGGAAGGAGATGAAGGAAAACTAACAACATTGGTTGCTTCTGGTTGAGAAGAACTGGGTGACTTATGGAACGGGTAGACTTTTCATTATATAGTCCTTTGTACCTTTCAAATTTGTGCCATATGAACATATTAAAAATAAGTTAATTTAAAAATATATTAAAATAAACTTAACCAGAAAATATGCCTATGCAAGTCACATCAGTCTGCTCTCTGCTAGTGGTTCAACATAGTTTTAATTTGCTTTTTTCCGACTTTTCTCACCCCTCCCTTATCAGGTGTTCAAAATGTTATCCTTGATTTCCCACCAAATGCACTGCCTGGCCTCCTGGTTGACCAGGACTGCAGCCCCCCAGCACTGTGCTCTCACGTACCTTGAGCTCCACCACATGCACATAATGGCCACTGCACACCATCCCTCCCCCTCCAACCCTTCTGACTGGGTCCTGAGCCTCTGTTTCTAAACCTCTCCTGTCCTCTATCCTCTCTGGGCCTTCAACACATCTCAGTCTGCTACCAAATTCCTTGATTTTCTTGGGACAAGAAGTGCAAAGGGAAGAAGAAAAATAAACAGCTGATTTCTTGTGGGGGTGGGATTATGGATATTTTATTTTAATTTCCTTTTTACTGTTATCATAATATACATATAATAAAATAAACTTGGAAGGAACGAATGATTGTTTGATTAACAATCCCTTTCAGATACCAACCAAGTTCTCTCATTTCTTTTTTAATTCAAATATATGACCTACAGAAACTTATTTCAAATGCCTTATAAAATCTTATGAATTGGCTTTCACGCATTATCATTCTATTAAAGCAGGGTCACCATGACTTCCTTCTAATCAATCAATGTGTGTTTCTCCTTCCTCAACCTCCCTGACCTCTGACCTCTCCAGTTAGACTGACAGCGGGACCCAGACTTCCCAAACCACAAGGCACAGACACACAGCTTTCTATCTAGACATTACAGCAGAAGCGGGGACAACTGAGAGACCGGTCAGAAGCCAGGCCAATCAATTACCAGCCATGTGACCTTGGGCAAATTACCCTCCTCTTTAAGTCTCAGTTTTCTCGTTTGTAAAATAAGATTAATAGTACTTAAACCTCACAGGGTTCTTGTAGAGAACAATTGAGTTCAAGCCTGACACACCCTGAAATGGTATCTGGTATAATACACACTCAAGAAACAAAAACAATGTTGCACTAATCAGTTAACAGTCCAGTCACCTCCTCCTTCCTGCAGAAGGGCAGAGCCCTGATTTCACACCCCTTCCCACCCCCGGGTCCATTTCTCTCCCAGGTGAGTCAGGTAAGTACTGCCTAGTCTAAGCCAACGTTATGATCCCGTTCTCCTTTCTAGGACCCATTTAGGAACATGCACAGACACTGTGAGATGACATTTGTTATACAGCAACAGATAACTAACACAGTTCCCTTGTTTATTAGAATCAGATGACTGTTTTTCAAACATTTTCTATGATGACCCACATGAATTTATTTTAAATCATGACTCAGTATATGTATATGTACAACTGAAAAGATCCAAACAATTTAGTTATATTTATTATTTTCAGTACATTCTGATATTTTCCATTTTATTTCATTGAAAAAAATATATACTGGGTGTGACCTACTAAATTCATCTCATGAGCCACTAACTGGCCACAAACGTCAGTCTGAATGAAAACCATCGTACTATGTGACATCTAAGATTTCTTCTATCACTAACGTCCTATACCTTTCTCCTCAAAGTAAGCTGCATAAGGAGAAGCAAGGGGCTAAGTGACTTGTGAAGTAAGTAACTAAAACTTCATTTCCTAGCATAACTACTGTGTGCCAGTTTGGCCCCCTTACTCCTTACCTCCTATCCATGAAGTTTCAAAAAAAAAAAAGAAGTTTCTTCTTAAGCAATGGCCAGAGCCCATACCTACAGCATCGCTGATCTCCAGATCAGCCAGTAATTCCTTTGAGACTTTAATCACCATCTCCATATTTCCAAAAAGTCCCTCAAAGTCAATGTTTGGTACCTGAGAACAAAATGTACAGATGCATGGAAATGAAATTAATGGCATACTATTCATACTAGGAGCATCTCTTGAAGGAGGCTACAAAATTTGCTCTAGGTCATCTTCACTCTCACAAAGTTTCCAGCACAGAAACATCCAAATTATCTTTAATGTCACACCTCATCCTTGATCCAATTACTCTGTTTTATCCCCCTTACTCCACTACCTTAGTAAAATGACTTTGAAACCAATCTGGTCTATAATTGTACAAATTCCCACCCACTACCCCAAATCTGATGCACTGCCTAGTTCTATAGAAGTTCCTTTAGAATGCTCCAGAAGTACAAACCAAGCTGAGCCCAGGTGGTCCAGTGACAAGCAAAAAGGACTGTAAATCCCCAGGATACTGTTAACCTGTTTTTCTATCTCCAACATCTAGAAAAGTACCCAGGGCATGCCCATGATACTAAGGATTTCCTGAACAAACTTTGTACAATCAGGTGCTACAGTCAGATAACCCATCATTCCCAGACTTCATTATATTATTACATTATATTATTATACAACCAGCCTTCCTAATAAAATGACAATCCAGACTCCCTGGAACTGTTTTCAGGAGCTAGAGAATCAGATGTGCTGGGAGTAACTGCAGTAAGTTAATGGTGGACTTGGTAAGTGACATGATGCTGAAGGCTTAAGTTGACAATACACATTTGTTTGTTGGGACCCTTGAATTAAAAGCAGCAGCAGTCACAGCCTTCATTTCAAACCCAGTAATTCCTTGTGGTGAAAACTCCCATCTCCTAATGCTTCAGACTTGGAGAACCACCTTCCAGGTAAAGCTCACTTTCTCCCATAGCTCCCACCTGGGCCTGCTGCAGGGGTGCCATGATCCGCTCCATACACATTTCCAGATCCCGAATGTAGTCTCTTTCCGTCTGAAGAAGTTCTTCTACCACCTTGGCTCTCTTCTCCAGCATCCTCTGCTCTGGGTGTTCAGTGGACGCAGACCCAGAAGGGGCCACTGGTGATGAAGACTGGGAGGAGAGGAGTGTCATTTCTAGGAGGGAAAAGAGAACTGGTCAGCAGCTCTGGGTGAAACCACGACTCTTCAACCATTTGAGTTGCAATGAACAATACGTTCTTGGAAGCCAGAGGTCTCATGATTGTCAGCCACTAGGAAATCTGATCACATATGTTGGTTCTTACCATGAACAGATGAAAAGCATAGAAAGCCACCCCTGCAAGAGAACTTCTCTCATCTTGCAATACCATTTCTACAAGTTGCCCCCAAAAGGAGTAGCGGGCCCAACTGACAGGATAAATCAGAAGTGTCCACAAAAGAGGGTGAAAGAGGGGCTGTTCTTATAAAGAACTACTTTCACTTAATTAGGAATGAAACCCATTCCATCATCTCGGCAGCAGAAACACCAAGCCAGAAGTTAAAAACATGGACATGGCACATTAAAAAGAATATTATAGGGAAAATAATGCCAACTAAGGGGGAGACAAGAATTAGGTAGGAATTATCCATCTGTGACCTGGGTGACTGTAGGGCTCACCATGTTCCAGTTACTGTGATGGCTGATTAACACTAGTATATAATGAAATAAGCAAAAATTATTAGAGTGTCCCCATCATAACATCAATGAAGACTATCAGCTTTTGTTACTTCAGATATCCTAGAAGATACAAATACACTATAAACATGAAGTTCTATTTTCAATCAGAACCGCACTACACAATCTAAAAGTGAAAACAAATACATGTCTTGTTATTAGCTCTTAACAATTATCTGCTACTTAAAATACATATGATGAGAGTTATTTATAAAGATGGGATGGCATTTGTTCATTTAAAGTGAACATTAAAATTAAACAACTGAAAAGATTTCAACAGCAATGCAATCTCTGATTGCTTTATTCCTTAAGATCCACTTTAAAAAACAACTAATTTGGTAGGTAAATACATGGGTAATTCTGAGTATAATTACAAGAACATTTTTACCCAGATCTAAGAAGCAAAAACACAAGTGCTCAATTATTTACGGAAAACTAGCCATAAAACTGTCATGAATGACAAAGCCTGGGGGACAGTTCCCAAAGATAACCAAGGAAATGACAAATACATGCAATGTGTGATTCGCAACTGGATCCTGATCTGGAGGAAAAAAATTCACCATGAAGGACGTTACTAGGACATTGATGAAGTAATACAGATTGTAGATTAGACAAGCAATTAAGTCAATTACAAATTTCCTGATTAGCAGATCTATTGTCGTGTATGACCATATCCATGATCATAATGTTTATTAAGGGACATGATACATGCAGTCTACCATCAGATAGTTCAGAGAAAAAGACTGTGTGTTTATCGACAGAGAGAGAATGAAAACAAAAACACAGCAAAATGTTATACTGGCGAATTCAAATAGAGGATTTACAGGAGGGTCTTATTACTATTGCAATTTTATATAAATTTGATATTCAAAATAAAGTTTGAAATGACATAATATGAAAATATCTTTCTTGAACTGTTTTCTTTTTTGGTAGAATGACAAAACTTCAAGAATAGCTCTTTTTTATCAGAGTGCTAAATTATAAATTAATTGTAAAATTTAATCTTCAAGAGCCTTGTTTTAAATATTCTTTGCGATTTAAGAGCAATAGAATCACAGTCTCAATACGGTTATCTAAATGGCAAGTTGGGAACAAAAACTCATTTTTATCTATTTCATTTTATATTTTGAGGTATAACTGACATAAAACATATTAGTTTCAGGTGTAGAACATAATAATTCAATATTTGCATAAGAAACTCATTTTTAATACAGGACTAAGAAGCTCTGGAATGGGAGAACATTAATTGAAATCCTACCATGTGCCAAGCACTTTACACATTATGTTCCTAAATCATTAAATATTCATGCCAAAACTGAAGTAGTGTTATAATTCCATTTAATAGATAAGAAAACCAAGGCTTTGGGAAGCTGACCTATTTGTCCCAGGTTCTGCAGTGAGTAAATGGCAGTTAGTGGGATTTGAATCAAATCCTATGCACTTAATCCTGTACCATTTTGCCTTCCTAGCCTGGAATCTCAACTAGAAAAGGTCAGGGGCTTATTTACTTTAAATCTTAAAAAGTCCTTGGGAACTAATTTTCTCTCAGGAATCAAAGCTCTATTAATCATAATAGATGAAAGCATAAAATACCAGCAAGTACTTATCAATCAGAAGCCAGCAACCTAAATTAAGAGATACAAACAGATTTTCATTTATATTTAAAAGAGAGAAAAACAAATGGTAATTCTTTTAAACCACCAACATGCTTTTTTTTTCAGGTAGATTTATAAACTCTTGAACAGCAGGCACCACCCTGGAGATTCTGATTCAGCAAATCTGGATGGGATCCAGAGATCTGCAATTTTAACAACATACTAGGTGTTTCTGAAGATGCACGTGACCTTCAGGCTCCACACACAAATATAAATACTCAAAGATTAAGTCAAACTAGACATATCTGTGTTGAGATGACTCCAAATGTAATACAGTTTTTCCATATCTGAAGGAAAAAGTCTGAGGTAAAATTTTAGTATCTGGGACAAGGAAGTGAGGGATGGCGACCTCCGCGCTCAGTAGCTGCAACGCAGACACAGGCTTTGAATTCCCCACTTCCCACTCTTCAGCTGGGGAGCCCCAGGAAGTCCACTTTTACCTCTGGAACTCAAGGTCTTCATCTGTACAAGGAGAATAATACGTGCTTGGCAGAGTTGTTGGGGGAATTCAACAAAATAACAACACAAGTTAGCTACTTTCCTACAACGGGTCAGAAAATGCTCTTTGTATTAGATGAAGGTTGAATGCACCAAATAGAAATGCTCTCTTCAAAGACTATGACATTTAACTTTTCTGTAAGAACAATAAGGAAGCACAAGGAGGCTGAGGCCCAGTACCAGCCTATCAGTAAAATGTGCAGACCAGCTCCCACTTTCTTCCTAGGTTGGCCCTGGAGATGTTTAGGTGCTGGCTTACTGCACAAATTTACTTTCTGTGATAAAATACTTAGTGGTGGATTTTTGTTGTTGTTCTCCTTCCCAGCCCCCAGCCCCTCAAGTACCAATTCCTCTCCTTCTCAAAATACCCCCACCCCTCAGTTAGTGCACCATCACCAGACGTCCCCTCCCAGTCCTGTAAGGAAGGCCAGCTTCCCACAACTCTAACAACCATGCTTTAAAGCAAGTAAAAAGAAAAGCCACTCACCGCTGCCCCTGCCTCTGAAAGTTGGTTCTGTCTTTGCTGGAGAAAAGCTTTGAACTGCCAGCAAGGTCCCAGGCTGCACCTGAGTACAGGGGCTGGCTGTTCTACCAGCAAGCCTACGTGATACCTGCGGTGCCAGAATTCTGGTGTGCGAGTGCGGGTGGGTCAAGGAGGGAGGAGGCAGAGTAGAACCTTCCCAGAGCTCTGGAATGCTCGCAGCCCCCGAAAATCCTTCAGCTAGGGTCCGCAGTTCCCCCAGGCTTTCCCATATTTACATATGAATCGCCCCAGTCACCCGGGCTATCACAGCAGGGCCTGTTCTAAAGGATGGAGCTGGAGTCCTTCCTTTACTGGACTGAGATGCAGAAGAGCAGGATTAGCTTTCCTTTCCTAGTCCTAAAACAATCACAATTTCACTTCGGGAGTTCTTAATCCAAGAGTATTAGCTCTTATTTTTCCTAACCCTGCTAAGCTTTGTTTTCTGGGATGTTCTTTTAGGGGAACAACTCCGAAGGCCCATCCATTTCTTTGGAGAAGAGGCAATGCTGGCAAGCGGGCAGCATCTGTTCGCTCTGTCTGCCCTACTACCTCTTTCTGCAGCCCCTCTGCCTTTCCAGGTATAGCTCTCATTTTGCTGAGGCTTCGCTCAAGGAATTGGACCCCTACTTTGGGTACCTGCCTCTAAAGCCATCAGGATGCAGATCTCAGCCTGCGGATCCCAAAGCCGCAAAGAACAGCATAGAGTAATTCACAGGCCTGGGACCCCTGCTCACAGCTCACACTTAACACTTTAAAGGAAACCGAGGAAAAGAAAGTTGCAGGACAATAAAACATTTTTGTAAAAAAAAATTTTTATAGAGAGAGTGAGAAAGCAAGCTCACAAAAACCCCTACATGCTTGCATAAATACATTTAAGTGCACAGAGAAAGGACTGGCAGGGGAACCCACCTAAGTCACGGGAGAGAGGGAACTGGGATTTGGGGTAGGAAGATTGACCCATGGGGACTTGAGCTCAATCAGTATTTTGTCTCACAAGAATCTATTAATCTATTGCCGGTAATTTAAAACAAACTGCCATGCCAAATCAGACACGTCTCTCCTGGTGAAATGTTGAGACAGGGGCCAAGGGTGTAGTCAGAGTAGGGTAAGGGCCTCTGGAAAAAGCAAGGCAGGATAATTACAGTCACAGCAGTGTAACTATATGCAAGGAAACCTATCAAAACTCTGTTAAACATTAAGTTCTAGAGTCATTCTTCAGTGAGATCAGTTAATATTCCCCAGATAAAGGAAAGTAGCCCATGTTTTTATTATGCTAATCATTTGTAATCAAGTGTAAGATCCACTTTACATGCTAAAAGGCCCAGGCCTATGTGCGGTCTTTCCTCCTTCAGACCTGATGAGGTGATTTGCAATCTGGGCAATTAATAATGGCAAGCAAGCCCAGCCATAAACAACACAGTAAAAGGCAGGAAGGATTCCATCTTAAAAATAAGATCGCATTTTCATACCCAGGAAGTTAAGAAGTAAGATTCTTAACTTACTCTTTGGTAAACAGACAATAGCTCGGCCTACCTTGGGGGCTGGGCAGACAGTGTTTGATATGCTCCCAGACCCAGACGCTGGTAATCTCAGGGAGAAATCAGAGCAGGAAGTTCCTTGTGTTAATTCTAAATATTCAGGAACCACTTAACAAGTCCACACCCCTAAGCCTTTTTTTTCATGTTCCCCAAAATCTTAAACTGTCTATAAAACCCCTAGACAATGCACAACTACAGGCTCTCTTGTCCCCTCTTGGCATGAGCCA